TTCTTTTGTCATCATGTGCTCATGTTCTTTGCTCATTTTCTGTCAGGGCATTGATGTCTTTATCTGTCGATTTCTAAGAGATGGATACGCTCGCCAAAGGTATAGATCACACTTTACATGTAAAGATAGGCTTACCTCTGACCTCCCCACTCAATCCTTTACTCTATCTGAAATATGAAATATTCTTCAAATGAGCAATATTTATCCAATATCAACTGCATGCAAACATGTTCACCAGACTCAGGAAGGAATCTTGCCTTCCATGGATTTATTTTGTTTCTCACAAGCCTGTTAGAAACGAAGTGACATAAAATATGCATAAATGAAGAACTGAATATAGGGTAAGAAGAGATTGTGATTGGATGAAATCTGTCTCCACTTCAAGGAGGAAGTTGAGCTAGGTATCAATTACTTTCAAAAGAAAATAATTTGGGGTAGTGGGAACCATTTTTACTGAGAGAAAAGGAAAGTGTAAAGAAGTCCCTAGGTCTGCGAGTGACAATATAGGCTACAAGCACAGTATTTGAGGGTTACCAGCTACCCACCTTAATCCTCCCAAATATAACTGTAGGAATCTATCATAACAGAACCATCCAGAGTTCATGTAATCATAACAGAAATGATGAAACTGTTACTTTAAAAATTTTTGTGATAATATAACTTTTAAAAGATTAAGGTAGAGAATAAAATCCTACACCTACTACCACTTGCAAATACTCGGTGCCCCCTACCACAATACATTTTAGCCTTTAACTGCAGAGTGTGGCATCTAACGGCAGGAAGTGAAGCAGCCATCTTGATCCACAGAATAGAGCTGCATGAGGATGGCAGAGCAACAGGTTAGCAGCTTGGGCCCCCCACAACCTTTTGTAGCAAAGCTACCTGATCAGCTCGTACTTTTACATAGAAAAGAAACAAACTTTTTATTTTATTAAAAACATTTTTTTAGGCCACAATTATTTTTCAGTTTTTCTGTTACAGTAGCCAAACCTATATGTTAACAAACACAAATTCCAAGTTGAGGAATGGGGGCTTTGTCAGTAATACGATGGCATATAAAATGTTTTTAAGAAAAATAAAAAGAGGTCTAAATTACAGAAGTGGCAATGAGAGTAGAAAAATGAAGCGGAAAGAATTTTGGAGGTTGAGGCTACAGATTACACAATTGGGCAAAAGAGAGAGGCAAGAATTTGAAATTTTTTAACAAGATATTTTTAAAGATTTTATTTTTCCTTTTTCTCCCCAAAGCCCCCTGGTACATAGTTGTATATTTTAGTTGTGGGTCCTTCTAGTTGTGGAATGTGGGACGCCGCCTCAGCATGGCCTGACGAACTGTGCCATGTCGGAACCCAGGATCCGAACCGGCAAAACCCTGGGCCTCCGAAGCAGAGCGTGTGAGCTTAACCACTCTGCCACGGGGCCGCCCTGAATTTGAAGTTTTAAATCTGTGCCACTCAGAAGATGCCTATACCATTAATTGAGACAGAAAATACAAAAGAGGAGGGAGAGTTATATACAGACTAATCAAGTCTGTCCAAAAAGCTGTGAGAAATGTGTGTTAAGTGCTCAAGAAAGCAGCACTTGACATAGAATTAGGGCTCATTTGCACGAAAATGATAGTTTAAGCAGCAGGAACAAATGAGATTACAAAAAAGAAGTTACAGTAAAGGTAAAATTTTCCTGTTTCAATGCCTCATTTTTTTTTTTTGGTGAGGAAGATTCACCCTGAGCTAACATCTATTGCCAATCTTCCCCATTTATTTTGCTTGAGGAAAATCAGCCCTGAGCTAACATTTGTGCCAGTCTTCCTCTATTTTGTACATGGGATACCGCCACAGTGAGGCTGATGAGTAGAGTAGGTCTGCGCCAGCGATCCAAACCCGTGAACCTGGGCCACTGAAGCGAGCACGTGGAAATTTAACCACTCAACCATGAGCCAGCCTCTCAGTGTATCCATTTTTTTTAAAAAAGCCAAATATATAATACTTTAAACATTTTCTCCTTTAAGTGAAATAATCTTAACATCTGTTATAATCAGTCTGTTTATCTCACAAGCAATTTCAGTAGTTAATGGGCATCCTCATGATTCAGGCATTTAATCAATTTCACTGATTAGCTGAACACCACAAACTGCAGTGGTCATTTTGATCTCTACATAGTTTTAACTCTTTTTTTTTTTTAGTCATATTGTTTAATTTATTCCCATAATGGACTACATTGGTTAGAGACTAGAAAAGTGATGGCAAAGTGAACTAAATTAATGAGGAATATAGAAACAATTCTGAAAATTAATATCAAAATGTTCTCAGAATGTGACATTTATATGATCAAAATTATTACAAAGCACAGCAAAGTATTTCTAGTACTTCAAAAATAATTTTAAAAAGAGGAATGATTAGGGCCAGCCCGGTGGGGCAGTGGTTAAGTTTGCACGTTCTGCTTCGGTGGCCTGGGGTTCACTGGTGCGGATCCTGGGTGAGGACATGACACCACTTGGCAAGTCATGCTGTGGTAGGCATCCCACATAAAAAAATGGAGGCAGATGGGCATGGATTTTAGCTTAGGACCAGTCTTTCTCAGCAAAAACAGGAGGATTGGCAGCAGATGTTAGCTCAGGGCTAGTCTTCCTCAAAAAATAAAAAAAAAACAAAGAGGAATGATTATTATTTGCAATTTGGTTGTTCAGTTACTGAGGGGGGGATATATCACATTTTAAATGTGTTTTTTTAATAAAGTGCTTATAATTACACTAAAATCTTCATTTATATAATCATTTAGATTTTTAAAGTACCAAATGCAATAATTCCAAACAGGTTCCGAGAGCAATTTTTGTTGATTTTTTTACGCTGAATTAGAGAAACAGATTTTAATTTGCCATTCTGTCACAAAACACCACATTCATTTAAAAGATGTTCATCAAATTTTTTCTGTTATAATTAAACAGCATCCATCATTTGATATCAGGAAAAAATTAAATTTGTATACATTATGAAATTGCAATGAAAAATAATCTTTAACACACCAATCTAAGTTAAAACCATTTTAACTTAACATTGTTGATGCAAAAGTGATATTTTAAAACATTCCACAGGATCTTCAGATTATATATTATGAAATCTAAAAAACAGTTCTTCAAAGAAAAATCTGAAGATATTTATCTAATTACTTAAAAATTACTTATTTACTTTAAATTACAGAACGTACTCATGCCATATAGTAAATTTAAAGTTGCAGTATTTTGATTTTAAGTTGTGTTAAAGAGAAACTAGAAAACCAATAAATTTTCTTCAGCAGAAGAGACCTAAGGCACTGATAAGTTTGGTATTCATTTACTGAGATTGTATACTTTCAAGAAAAAATGGCAAATAGAGTATTATTATTTGAGGGTTCATCTTCATTACCTAAATTTCTCTCTAGTAAGATCTCACAAAAGGATTATGAACTTTTCCTTAATATTATTTCTGTTTGTATTATTTGTAAATTGGAAGCAACAAATAAATTTCACTCAAACACAATGAAAATGAAGTTTTCCAGAAAGCAGGTTAAAAACTTATTTTTCAGTTAGGTTAAAAAAATGTATACCCATACCTCCCAATTATGGCTTTATTTTATTTATTCATTTAACAATTATACTTTTGAATATATGCCAGGCACTATTATATGGGAACGCTATACAAAGGTTTTAGCAAACATTTACTGAGCAGCTACTATGTGTTATTGGTGTTTCTTAGCCACTGATCTGTTACTTTATGAAAGCAGGTACTAACATGCATGTTAGCCATCAACTCAACACTAAATTAATAATTGAACTCTTGCAACTTAGGTTGTATAAGACACGTGGATTAAAAAGCAAATTTTAAAAAGAAAATTAAGTTTTGATCATTCAATTATGTTACTGTTGTTTTCTTTGGTACTCTTGCCACAAAACTTGGTACTGTTGCCTCGGTTGGATCATCAGTTAACCTTGAATAACTGAAAACCAAACTAAAGGCAATAAGATAAGTATCTTTGCTTTCTTCCCACGTGTCCAAACTGCTAAGGCAAATCACAAAATACTAGCCTTTTATGGGCCAGATTTTCGGTTCCGATAAATATCCCCCTCAAATGAAAGACAATGCGTGCTTTCTACTCCGATTTAAACAGATAATGAGGAAGAGGAAAAGAAGGTAATTCCTGTCTCCTTCCTCCCACCCCAAAAAGAGCTCAGAAGATGCTTCCCCCTACAAATGCTTTCCCTCCCGCTGCCCCATGACCAAGCAGATGAACCAACCAAGCACATCAAGACAGACCAGATATTTCTCATCTTCAGCAGATCATAACCAGGGAAACCAAGATCTGACAAAATTCCTCCTTCACTTCCACTGTTTCTGCAAACACCACCACTTTCTAGCTTTTAAAAGAGACCACTGCAGGAATGTTGGCTGCACACTAATGAATAAAACCGCCCAAACGGAGAACCCGCCGCCCACTACCACCAAAGGATGGCACTAGTCACAGGGTAACTACCGAGAAGAGCAAACACTTCAGCAGCCGCTCCCTCATTAACGACACAAAATGAAGACGTCTCTTTCGAACCTGAGGATAGTAGTGAGGCATCTCCCTCTCTCCCCGTCCCTTACCAGCCTTGTTCCTTCCTAAATCAGGCAGTCCATCAGCCAACTTCCTTTGTCAGTAATTAGGGCTTGATGGTCAGAATCTTTCCGAGACAAAGATGATTGGAATAGCTCCCAGGTACCCAAGGAATCAGTGTTAAGGCATTAGAGCCCCCACCAAGCCTACACAATGACAACCAAACCAAAGCGTGGCCTCCCCGCCCCTCCCATTCGTCGCTCTCCCGAGCAAGAGCTGAGACTCAGGCCAGGAAAAGCCCTCCCTTTCAAACAAGCAAGAACGCGCCGGGTCGGCTCCCTCAGGACCCGTCTACACCTTGAGGTACTAAGTAAGCTTTCAATAGCCAAGCTCAGTCCCAGCCACACACAAGATGGCAGCCAAGCACCTACCGGAGGAAACAGCTGCACCACCACTCCAGCGATGCCGGCCACTCGACCGCGGATGTCTCCATTGGCGCAGCCAGGGCGCGCGAGACAACCCGAGAGCGCTGGCAGCCAATCGGAAGGAGGCGCGCTCCGGCGCCACCGCGTTGCCGGCGGTACGCGCGCAGGGCCTTTGAGGCGTGGACCCAGTGGGGTATACAACCAATGGGCTCCCGGCCAGGTGATGGAAGTCGTCGGTGTCCGACTCCTCCCATTTAGGGTTCGTGTTAGGTAGGCCTGGACTTTAGAAATTGGGGGGTGCACACTCCCTGGCTGAGGCGAGGTGGAACAGTTGTTGCTGAGGTGAGATCTAGTACATGGTGAAGTAGGTCCCGGCCAGGGGACACTTGGGGCCGTGGGCTGTCGGTGGCGTGGAGTCGGAGAGGAGCCCGGCCCGCGGGGAAATCCAGCCTGTCCTACGGAGCGGGCGGAGGACAGCCGTCAGGTCCGGCGGGCGGCTTGGAAAACGCAGTGGAGCCCGTGAAGCCGAGGCACGGCCTTGGGTTGCCCCGCGACGGCTCCTCCGGCCCAGGACCTTGCAACCTCCCTTCTCCTTTCACTCACGTGCAGTCCCGGGCTGGAGAATTGATCGCGGGCGCACTGAGTTCTCAACCCCCATTTCGGTCTCAGTCTCCCGGTGGACACCTTAATATGAGGTGACTGCTCAGCAGCTGGGAACCAGAGGCTATAAAAAGGGCTGTAGGAAATGGACTGCAGTATAAAATCCAGAAGCAGAACTTGAAGGTCTAACCACTGACCCATTTCGCAGGTAAGACTGCACACGCCCTAAATAAGCAAAATCATTTATCCAGGGTCATGTAGTTGAGATCAGATCCTAAGAGCTTCTGACCTTGCTTAACCACAACCCAACAACTTCTTACCCAATAAGAAATTAAATAAAATAAGCAGCAGTATATAACTGTACCATTCGGCATGTGGAAGCCCACAGCAAGTTCTGTATGTATTAATGAATGAGGCCAAGAAAAGAGGTAACTTTGAGGCGGTAGAGTGGAATAATCAAAAACCATGGGCTCTGAAACCAGACTGCCTGGTTCCTTATTTTTTGTCTCTGCCACTTACAGTGTGACATGCTTTAGCTTCTTCATTGGAAAAACTGGCATGCTGATTTATCCCCTTTGATCGTTATGCAGATTAATAAGAATTTGTGAAGTGTTCAGAAGCGCGCCTGACACGTAGTTTAGACTCGGTAAACGTCCCTTACTGTCATCCTAATTAAAGAACAGAGAAGAAATGGTCACAGTTTCATAAGAGCCTATTTTTAAAAACGAAAAAGAACCGTAAATTGAAGTGAAACAGACCGACTCCTTCTCTGCCAAAATGAAAAAGTGAGAAGGGGAAAAAATGAACAAACTTAAAAATCCCTGTTGTGCTCCAAAATATTAACACTGGTTGTCTCTGGATGATGAGATTATGAGTGATTTAAATTTTCTTCTTTATGCTTTATTATATTTTGCAATTTTTTTCAGAGAACATGTTTTTACTTTTTTAAGTTCAGTTACTTTTAAATTTTCAGAAGCGATGGAGGACACTGGTGAGGCCCTCTTTAAAAAGAAGCTCTTACCAACCATGTTTATATGTTGTAGGTGGAAGTGTAAATTGGTAGAACCTTTCTGGAAAGCATTTTGGCAATGTGCTCCAGGAGACTTTAAGATAGACAATCCTTTTTTGAAAATTGTATACTTAAATTTTAAATTCAGCACACTTTTACATTCTGCTACAAAATTAGAACCTTACAGATAGAGAGCATAATTCACCATCCCTGAGTCGTGTCCCCCCTGTCCCCCCCACACATACCAAAGACTTGGGTGCAGAGCCTTCAAGTCTTTGTTTTATGTTTATATGTACTCTATATGTGCATATATGCATTCGTGATTTTTTTTTAAATGGAAATGGTGTCATACTATGTAATTTTGGAACTTTATTCACTTGAGTGTTTTTGCAGCGTGTCCATGTTATTTATATCTCATTTTGTTGTTTACAGCTCATTTTTTTTATCTGCTGGATAGTGTTCCAGTGTATGGCTGAATTGTTCTGTTAATGTAAAATATATTTCTTTGTCTCTTTTTCATATTAAATTCTATTTTGTGTGACATGTACTATATAGCATGTTTTATTTACTGTCCTCCTCTTGATGGACATTAGGTTTCTTCCAGTTTTTCACCTTAGAAACAATGCTGCAAGGGAAATCCTTGTATATGTTTTCTTGTGCACATGTGGTATCTCAAGGACATATATTTAAAAGTGGAATTGTTTGGTTTTAAGTTATGAACATTTTTAATTTTAATAGGTCTTGCCAAATTTGCCTCTAAAATACTTCTGCTAATTTATACATCCCACAAGTTGTTAATGAAATTTCAATTTCCCTACAATCTAGACCAACCAAGATACTATCATCTTACTTTTTGCATATCTGATGGATGAAAATGATACTCATTTAAAAAAATTTTTCATTCTCTGATTATTAGTAAGGTTGCAGTATCTAGTCATATGTTTATTAACCTATAACTTATGTAAATTTTTATAATTTCTTTTAAAAATTACCCACTTTTCTATTGAGTCATCTTTTTCTTAATGATTTAAGGAGTTCTTTATATGTCCTGTATACCATGTACCTGTATAATTTTACCAAATTTCTTCACTGTCTATGGCTATGTCCCCTTTTTGTTACTGTTGTTAAAATATGTTACAAACATTTTCTCTCAACTGTTTGCTTGGCTTTTAACTTTATTTTATTTTTGTTAGTTTCTGTTTATTCTGCAATGGCTTTTTCTCTTTTTTACAATCTTTAGGTCTCTTTATTTTACTGCATCTCTCTAAGACTTCCAGTACCATATTGAATAAGAGCAGCGGTGGCAAGTGTCCTCATCCTGAGCTCACTTTAATGAAAATGCTTCTAATGTTTCCTCATTGAGTATGATGTTTGCTGCTAGGTTTTAGTAGTCATTATCAGGTTAAAGAAGTTCTCTCTTATTCCTAGTTTGCTAAGTGTTCCCCCTCTTACCTCCTCCCCAGAATAGTTGTTGACTTCTATTGAATTTTTTTGTTTTGTTTTTCTGCGTCTGAGAGGATAGTTTTCCTCCATTTATCTATTAATGTAGCAATTTACATTGATAAACTTTCCTATGTTAAACCTTTGGGTATTCCTGGGTTACACCCTACATTGGTAATATACTTTTACTCTTGATAAAAATGTAAGAATAACAATGTTTTTGCATATTGAAGTATATGGAAAGGCCATTTTAAATCTGATTTGGCCTAAAACTTCTTTTTCCAAAACCGGACTGACTTATGGCCCCCCAGACGTGCATTGTACATCTGCTTCAAACATTTCCCCAAAGCACAGAATGCGCTCTTTAAAGATAGAGATGAATGTCTCCCTTTCTCTGAAGCCTATACCAGCACTTCTTTGAAGATAAGCTCTTCTTCCCAGAGAGCCAAGGTCAAGTTGACCTGGTATGTACGTGCTAAACTGCAGGAGGACATCTCCTTGTCACTTTGGGGGAAAAAATTGTTTTCCTGTTATGCTTGATGTATGTTCTTTGTTCTGAAACGATATGTAACCATGCTGTAAACCACACTTCTCTGGGGTGCTTTCTTCTCTGGGGAAGATAATGCTTCTGGGCTAGTCCTCAGCGTTGGCTCATTAAATATCAATCACTATCACTCTTTCTTATCTATAGATTGGTTATTGATTGTTTGCATCGACGCTCTACTGCTTTATATTTTTACATACTATTTCTGCTTCTCTACCCAGAAGTGCTTTTGGCCTTGAGTTTCTTACCCAAGGTGTCAAGGTTTTACTAATCATAAAAAAAGAGTTCAAAGCTTCCCATATTTTTCCTGCTTTGAAACTGTTTTGTGTACTATAGAAGTTATTCATTCCTTGAAAGTTTTGTAGAATTCATCTATAAAACTTTATGAACCTGGTGTACTGGGAGTAAGAGGTGGGGATGTGTGGCATGCAGCTCTTAAGATCTTTAACTGTTGTTTTAATTTCTTTTTATTAACATAAAAATATTTTTTATCTTCTTTTATTAAGATTTTAATAAGGATAATAATTTATCCCTCTAATTGGGATTTTTACTTCTTGAGCCTATTTGGTATTAAGTCAATCATTTCCATGAGATATTCATGGTGAATTGTTCTGTCACTGTAAAATATTTCTCTTTGTTTATTGGTTTTCATATTAAATTCTATTTTCTTTGATATGAATGTTTCTTCCTGTGTTTGCTAGTATGTCTTTTTTCATGTCCCTTCATTTCAACCTTTAGATGATATTTTGTGATTTAATTGGGTCTCTTATTTTAAAATATCATAGCTAGGTTTTGCTTGCAATCCAATCTGAGAGTCTGTCCTTTATTAAGTAAGATGAACATATTCACTTTTTTTGTGATTATTAACATGTTTGGCCTTTTTCTTCTCATCTTATTTACCATGCTTCTCTTTGTATCTTTTGTATGTTATTTTTCCATTTCTCTTTTTGAGGTAAGCCCAAGTTTTCTTTGTTCTACCTGTTTTCTTTTTAATGGACTACCTTTACGTTTTCAACCCAGTTTTTAAGTTTATGTTTTCCTAACAAAGTCTAAACTTAGTTAGTATTGATATCCTTCCTATGAAGAAGAACTTAGTAGTATGCTTCTACTTTACTTTCTCTGATCTTGTGACAATCCCCTTCCATCCCCCCTTCAAAAAAGAACATAATTTCCCATGGTTGTATCTTCTAGCATTTTTGTTTCATTTGTTATTAAAACCCATTTTTAGGCTGTATTTATCTAGCATTACTGTGTGTTACTCATTTATTTGCTCACTATTGCTTCTTGTACCTCAGTACTTCCTTCTAGGTTAGTTTTTATTCACGAAGTACTTCTTTACTTCTTTCAGAGAGTCTCTGAGTGGCTCTTTGAATGTCTGTAAAAGTCTCTTTTTTTACTCTCGGCATTGACAGATAGCTTGGCTAAAATAGTATTCTGGGTTCAGACTTAATCTTCCATTAATGTTTTGCATCGGGCATTTCTTTCTTTCTTTCTTCTTCTTCCTCTTTTTTTTTTTGGTGAGGAAGATTGGCCCAGAGCGAACATGTGTTGCCAATCTTCCTCTATTGGTGAGCTTGTTAAGTCTCTTTCGTGGTGTAGCTTTCCTCAGATGTTTGATGACTCTCGGTTGTGGACTCTTCTCCTCTGAGAAGGCTGGCTCTTCCTTTGCCATGTTGTGATGGTGATTGGCATTATCTCTGCAGCTTCCCATCTGTTTCCTTTCCCCAGAGAGTTCTCACAGACTTGGTACATAGAGAATTCCTTTTTTGTTTTCAGCATGACTATATATTTTTAATTTTAAAAAAATCTTCTAGGGGGCTGGCTCTGTGGTATGGTGGTTAAGTTCAGCATGCTCCACCTCAGTCGCCTGGGTTTGTGGGTTCGCACCTTGGGTGCAGTTCTTCACCACTCATCAGCCATGCTGAGGCCGTGATCCACGTATAAAGTGGAGGAAGGTTGGCACAGATGTTAGTTCAGGACTCATCTTCCTCAGCTAAAAAACAAAAAAGAACTTCTAACATTTCTGTGGATGTGGTGTGGGAATGGGAGAAGAATTTATCATATGTTGACTAACATCTTGAGACTGAAAATTGTTGATCTCTTTTTGACCTGTTAGTTCCACCTCTAGGTGTATATCTTAAGGAAATAATCAGAGATATATATAAAGTATATTCCAGCATTAATTATTATACTGGAAAAATACAAACAATCTAAATGTCCAATATAGTGTTTTATTTACAGTACTAATTAATCATTTATTAAAATTTAATTATTAAAATTCGTTAGTGTACTTTAATATATGGATTATTAACCAAAGTACATTATACAGCCACCTAAAAGTCATAGAAAAATATTAGTGATGGGGGAAAGTGCAGGACATGTTATCAATGAAAGATTATAAAAACTTATATATACTAAAATCCAAATTTTGTTTTAAAAGTATATATTGAAAGAAAAATAATAATAATTGCTAGAATTTATTGGGTCTTTTGTATATGCCAGGCACTATTCTAAGTGTTTGTCTTATTCTCACAACAATCCTTTGAGGTAGTTAGCATTATTATCCTCATTTTAAAAGCTTTTATAAAGTATTTATAAAATGGGGATAGTTTATGTTAATTAACAAATATATTAAATATGAATGATTCTTAATTTCTCTGTAATTTTCCTAATTTTGATATTTTATACATTTTCCCAGTTCATATGTATTCTCTTTTCATAATAGTTCATGCTGTTTTAAAAGATAGAGTTATTGTTGTAAGAATCTCTTTTTTTCCTTATATATTTTATTCTTTACAAATATGTCCCATTCTTTATTGTTTTCCTTACAGAGTACATTCATGGACCAAAAGATGAAGTTGGTATTTATTTTTAAAAAGATATTGTCAATGAACTGATATGACTATAAATATTCATTTGATAAAGATGCATGGACTTGTCATTAGTTTGGACTAGTGGTCATTTCTGAAAGTTTCTTCAACCACAATTTCTATTTGAAAATTGAAGTATCAAAGAATATTTGGTTTAGAATGGTATAATGATGTATTTTCTTTGAGGACTGCGAATTTCATAGAGACCACAGTTGGATCCCAGTTATATTCTCCAATCAAAGTGATTCACTCCTTTAATGAAGTTAATTTTGAAGAGTTTTATGTTTATAAACAACGCCAAAAGATGGGAGAAAGAAATGGTAGGTTGAAAAAACCATTCTTAAACTTTGTGTTTAAAAGTATATAGACTACTTAATGAAATTGAATTGTGGAATTTTCAAGGTTTTTCATTGCAAGCGACTTTTCTGAATTAAAAGGAGTTAAGGGTTTATTCTCATGTAGCCAACAATTTTGACTGTTTATAATTAATTGTGTATCTAATGCTAAGTCAGTACTTTAACGTACTTTTAAAAAATATTCTTTATTTCTTAGAAAACTTTTCAATTTACATAGAAATTGAGAGTTCCCATATTCCCTGCCCCAAGTTTATAAGTTTTGCCTATAATTAACATCTTAACATTTGGCTGCTACATTTGTTACAGTTAATGAACCATTATTGACACATTATTATTAACTAAAATCCATAGCTTATTCATATTTCCTTAGTTTTTACCTGATTTTTTTTTCTGTTCCAGGATTCCATACAGGATACCACATTACATTTACTCATCATGTCTCCTAAGGGTCCTCTTGAATGTGACGGTTTCTCAAACGTTGCTTGATTTTTATTTTGTAGGATTTTGTATTCAAGTATTTTGTAGGATGCCCCTCTATTGGAATTATTGACTGAATTTTTCTCATGATTGGACTGGGGTTATGGGTTTTTGGGAGGGAGAGATAAAGTACCAGTTTTACCACATTATATCAAGCGTTCATGTTATCAACATGGTTTCTCATTTTTTGATGTCGAGCTTGCTGACATAGTGTAATCTGGTTTCTCCACTATAAATTACTCTCCCCCCGCCCTTCCCTGCTGTACTCTGACAGGAATTCTCTATGCACTCCCGCATAAGGAGTGGGGCATTTATGTTCCCTCTCCTTGAGAACAGACTACCTGCACTAATTATGGAATTCTTCTGCAAGGAAGATTTGTCTCCTTTCCCTCATTTATGTGTTTATTCAGTATTTATGTCAGTATGTGATCATGGATACTTATTTTATAATTTGGGTTATAGTTCAGTACTGTTTTATTTTGTAACTCATATTGTCCCAGATTGGCCATTGGAACCTCTTTCACTTGGCTGTGTCCCTTTGAAGTACCCTCATTAATATAGGTTGTTTTTGTTTTATTTTGTTATTTTTGTTATTTAGCACTTCTTTATTTTCTGGTTAGAGGATGCTCCAGACTCATCTTGTATATTTCCTGTCCCAGTCCTAGAATCAGCCATTTCTTGAATGAGCCTGGTTCGTTTTGCTAAAGAATGCTATTAGAAACCAAGATCTGGATAACAGGTGTGCTTGTTGCTACGCGATGTCGTTGCTTATAGGCCCTCTCAGCTGTCAGAACAAGGAAATATATGTATACTAACCTGTATATACACATATCCATAAATATTTCTATATGTAACCATCTGTACTCTATATTAAGCTAAATATGAATTTATACTGATGTTTCCAAGTATAATCTGTCACCACATAGATCATTCTAGCCTACTCTCCTTGCTTATCGGTAAACTCCCACTCCCACAATGAGAAACGTGGTTCCCACTGTTATCCAGTTACTTAATTGTTTGTTTTCAGTATATACGTCTAGCAGTATCAGAAAGGTAAACTTACTCCCAGGTAGAAAACTTCAGTGCTTGTTCACAGTTCCTTTTACTTTTAGTCTTTCGGACTCCACTTATTTCCAAAGTTATTTAGGTCAGCACGTTTTCTACCCAATCCTTCAGTGAAGTTGTGTATACATTTGTAATACAGTCTCTTGTCACAATCTGCATTCCTTCCTGGGATCCTGACCTTTTAAATGATATTTTAAAATTTGCATACATTAGTATTCACTCTTTCTGCTTTATGACAAATGCATAATGTCATGTATCTACCATGGCCGTATCATACAGAATAGTTTCACCACCCTTTAATATACTTGTAATGTATGGATTGTTATACAGATCATAGTGTGGTAGTCTCCCCTTATCCATGGTTTCGCTTTTCGTGGTTTCAGTTACCTGCAGTCAACCATGGCCCGAAAATATTAAATGGAAAATTCCAGAAAATAAACAATTCATAAGTTTTAAAGTGCATGCTGTTCTGAATAGCATGATGAAATCTTGCGCCATCCCACTCTGTCTCGCCTGGGACATGAATCATCCCTTTGTCCAGTGTATTAACAGTGTATACGCCACTCATCCACTAGTCACTTTAGTAGCCATCTCAACTGCTGTGGTATCACAGTGCTTGTGTTCAGGTAACCCTTATTTTACTTAATAATGGCCCCAAAGCACATGAATAGTGATGCTGGCAATTTGGATATGCCAAGGAGAAGTTATTGTTGTTAATCTCTTACTGTGCCTAATTTATAAATTAAACTTTATCTTTAGATATGCATGTATAGGAAAAAACATTGTATATATGGGGTTTGCTACTATCTGTGGTTTCAGGCATCCACTGGGGGTCTTGGAACATATCCCCTGTGGATAAGGGGGTACTGCTGTACTGATTTCACTGGGACATTATCTAGGCCAGTGGTTCTCAAACTTTCTTTTGATCTCAGGACTACTTTATATTCTTAAAAGTATTTAAAACCTCTAACAGCTTTTGTTTATGTGGATAATATCTGTTCATATTTACTGTATTAGAAACTGAGAATCTTCAAAAATGTTAATTGTCTCATTTTTTAATAGTAAACCCAACATGTTAACGTAAGTTACATGTTTGTGAGAAATAACTATTTTCTGAAACAAAAAAAATTAGAAGAACATTGTTTTAAATTTTTACAAATCTCTTTAATAGTTGGGTTAATAGACGAGAGACTCTCATATCTGCTTCTACATTCAATCTGTTGTGATATGGTGCTTTGGTTGGGATGTATAAAGAAAATGAAGCTTCACCCAGACAAGAAATTGGAAAAAGGAAAAATATTTTAATAGCCTTTCAGATAATTGTGAATATTTTTCTTTCATACAACTACAAAACTCAACAAGTAGTCATTCCTTCAAGGTTAGTCATAATGTGGAATCTGAACTCTTATCAGTGAGGTTTTTTACACTCTGTTACATTAAAATATGTCTGTCTTGCACTTTGAATGGGTCTTTTACACATGTATGATTTTATAACATCATGCATTGGCCACTTGGAAAATACTGGTTCAGTGAATATGCAAATTTTCCAAATATTGATACATTTCATCATATAATATTTAAAAAATCACATTTGTTAATATTGCTGCCAATCTCATCAAAATGTGACTAATTATTGAGAAGCTGTCAAGCTTATCATGGCAGATGCAAAGTTTCCAAATTTCTAGTTTTAACTTTGTAGCTTGAATTTTATCATTAGCAACAAGTGCTGTCAGTTCTGTCCTTCAAGTGATAAGCTCACTTTGTTCATTTTTGAGAAAATGTGTGCAAAACACCCAAGTCTGAAAAACCTTAATTTTTATTAGTGGTTCTTTTAAGTAGAAATGGTTTTCCATGAAAAAAAAAAAAAGGCAGCTTGTTTAGCTTACAACTCACACAATCTCACCAAGTGCTTTTCCTTAGCCATTGTACTGTGGTAATCATATATGTTGCTTTATCCAGGACATTTTTAAGTGAGAGTGGTGGTGAAGAATACAGTGACTTACTGGTAGTTTGGTGCCACTGCCTTGATTCGTGCTAAGACACCAACACTCTTACTTACCAATGATTTTGTGCCATCACTTAATGTTAATACAGGAAGAAAAAGGGCAAATAATGTCTTAGCATTACTCTTAAAATAGTTTGACATAGTGTATTCTCTGAAAGGATTTGGGGACCCTCAAGGGTCCATAGAGCACACTTTGTGGATCATAGGCTCAAATATGTCTTAGAGATCCTCTAGACCGATGCCCTGAAGCTCCTGAAAAGATAGAGAGATACATATATTTCTGTGTACCTAGGTCATTATCCATGTATGTAGTAAGTACTCCATAAATATTCATCTATTAAATGAATTCAGATTAGTGTGATTCATGAGCATTGCCTGTTTACAAAGAATGTCTGTCTCAAATGAGATGTGGAGACACATAGTGTAAATATATAATTTAGTTATCTTCCTTCTTTACAAAGCTGCTATACTTCTTGCTTCATGATTATATTCTTACAATAAAGAGTCATATCTAGCTAAGTGAGGGAGCAAGAACAGTGGAGTTACCAGATGGTGTTCTGTATTTCTGGAGGCAAGTAGCAGCAATATTAATATACTGATTTGATTTCCAATTCAAGTACCTGCTCATGTACTCTTTGTAAATGTCTTCTAGTAAAATATACTGAAATATTTCCAGTTTTAAATTACAACCCTGAGCATGCATGTAATGCACAAAGAAGTAAAGAAAAGGAGCAAGAAACCAAAATTGTTTACATTTTAGTAACCATCTCTGCGGTCTACAGTTGAAATGAAATCACTCAAATATTTCTTCTTATGATATTCATTTAGCCTCTTTGTTCAAAAAAGTTAGTAACTGGATCTGTTAATCTCATTTATCAGATATGTTGGTTATCTCTCTTCTTACTTAATATTAGTGTGGTTAAAAGTTTCTATAACAAGAAGACAAAAATGATCAAGAGGGAAGACATGAGGAAGAAGAGCCATTTAAATATGAGAATGAAATCTAGCAGTATGAGATAATAAGGATGTCATAAGGAGTAATATGTTAAAAACCTAGAACAAGTAAATATGAATCGCTTAGTTACATTCATTTATTGTACAAGCAGATATTTTCATTGTTTTCTCATTGGCTTTATTTTCTTAAATTATATTACCAGTATTCTCTTTATTAATCCATTCCAAGACTAAGCATTCACCCTGTTCACTTTTTAAATAACTCATTTTTGGTGTCATGTCTTGACATTTCTAACAGTTTTAAATGATAGTCACTGAAAAACAAAAATTTACTTAAGTTCTGATTGCTTTCTTTCAGCATCACTGTTTATTTTCTCAGGCCAGGAGAATTGTGTATGATTCTGGAAGATTATAATGCTACCAAAAGCTATTTCTAAACACCTTTCAACATCCTTCCCCTCTAGATGTCCACCTCAAATAAAGACAAATCCCTAGTGTGAAGTATTGACTCATATCCATGAAAAGAAACATGGTAACAATAATCAATTAATTGCTTTCATAAATAGTTTTGCCTAAATGCAATGATCTTTGTTGTTATCTCTCAGTGAAAAACTTAATGATTCTAAGGATTTGGGGAAGGCCTTGCTTCACAAAATATTTTCCCCACTTAGCTGAATGATCTCTAAAATTCCTCAATTAAAGATTAATTCCTTTTGCCTAAGACTATATTCCCTGTTAAATTATATACAGTAATTTCTTGCTAACTGCCATGTGCTTATCTGCATATCAACTCCATGAGGCAGATGCTGGTATTATTCCCATTTTACAGATATGGTCACACAGCTATTAAGTAGCAATACTGGAATTCAAACCCAAATACATCAGAACTGCAAAGCCCAGATTGTTAATCACCACTCCTGTTCTTCCATTGACTCCCGAGGTGCTACTCTCCTGGGGTTCCCTTCCACCTGTTTGTTCCTTCTCGGTCTCCCTGGTTTCCTTTCTCTTGTACTTGTTCTTTATTTGTTGATGTCGTACAGAAGACCCTCTTCATTCTACATTCTCCCTAATCACATTTATTCTGTGTCTTCAGCAAGCATTTGTATGCTGTTAACTCCACAATTTGTGTATCTGGACCGGATATTACTCTGGAGCCTGTGTTTACAGTTTACTTGCCCTACTTGAATTTCTCTCTGGTCTCTCTACCTTTATTCCCTGTCTCAGTGAATATCATTACTATAATTATTGTTATCTGAGTCAGACACTTAGAAATCATTCTTGACTCCTCCCTCTTCCCACTGCTACCTGAATCACACCATAAGATGCTTAAACTTCTTGAGTGGCCCCTCATAGCCTTCCATATAAAAATGAAGTTGCTTAGCGTGGCACACAAGGCCATCCATGTCAGGGCCCCTGCCTACCTCTGAAGCATCATTCCTCATCCCTTTTGTCCTCTCACATTGCATTTGTTTCAAATATTGAAACTCGTATGAACTGTGCTGTGGGGAATTAAAAGTAGGCTTAGTCTTGTGTAGTACACATTGAGCCAGAGGGTTAACAGGGAAACAATGTTCCTCCTGAGGGCTGGTGGCGTGGTGGCGGCAACCCTAATTAGCCAGAGATACCCTTTGGGTAAGGTGACTTTGCCAGGGAGAGTTAGGATTCTGAGACCTAAGTCTCTTACGAAGATTCTCACTCCATTGCCAAACTTGTGCGTTATGGGTTTAATTTTTATTAAGAAAGATGTATTTTTGTAAACATACTGAGGTCTCTTCTCATTAATCCAATGGTTTCTCAAGTGACCTTTCTCAAGTGCAGTTATTATTATGTGCCCTCCTTTGCTTAAGGCCCTCTTAATTAATTTTAAACATACATCGATTTTAACATTTTATAAATAAATCGTGTTTAACATTTTAGATATTTTTGTTAGTTTTAAAGATGGTAAAGTGTGAGATTTGGCTTTTGCCAATTTTAGTTGCCTTTGTCATACTTCTGTTTTCAGCTTCAAAAGAATTATTTCTCTAGGAAATGTTTGATTAAGGTGTTAGCTTGCTGGGTGTCTGAAATGTTGGCTAATCTGTATAACTTTATTTATAAAACCTTTAAGCATTATTTTGCTTCATGTAGCCATTAAAAAGTTAGTATAAAAGACATTTTAAAAAGCTTTATTGTTGGACATTTAGTTATTTCAGCAGTTGTTGAGATGTTTCATTCTGAAAACATCTACTTCTATACTCAGTAGATGTTATATCCCTGAAACTTTTAAAATGGATGTGTGTGTGTACATATGCCCACTACCACCTAAAATGAAGTCATTCCTTCTGTTTTCCAGTTAAGAAGTAGTGTCACTAAAGTTTTCAACATGTTTCTTAAATTAGCAGAAATAAGTGAGACACTTAGATCATATTCTTTGTTTCTTGTTCTTTGTAAAGAAAGAATGACCAAAATCTTTTTCCTCAAGGAAAGCGCTAGACCAATTAAATCTTGATTTTATTTAGAAACCAAATGGCTTTCTGTAACATGAGCCTTGGGGAAATTATAGTCTATTTCTAATGAGCTCTTGGGCCATTCACTTTTTTTATTTTAGGTGATGCAAAAACTTTCTGGATGGAGCTGGAAGATGATGGAAAAGTGGACTTCATATTTGAACAAGTGCAAAATGTGCTGCAGTCACTGAAACAAAAGATCAAAGATGGGTCTGCCACAAATAAAGGTTTCAAGCAATAAAAACTTTCAATATGTTTAATGCTAAATATTACCCACTAGCAATAGTGTATAATTCTATTTCCAGTATTGTTTGTTTTAAAAGTTAAATAATTTCTTTTGTTTTCTAAGAATCTAGCATCAGGTCTCTTTGCTTTTTCTGTGTGTTCTGCTTCTATAGATACTTTACCGTACCATGGACATTTTGTAAAGCGGGTAAAGATGATTACTTTGAATAATAGCTACTGAATTTATCTCTTTTTATCTTAAGCCAGCTTTTTCCCCCATTTTATCTTTTTTTTCTTTTGTATCTTTCCTTTGTATACTTTGAGGAGTATTGCAGAAGAATTATCTGCCCATTGTACATTTGGTACATATCGAAAATATAGCAAAAATTATCCATTACCCCATCATTCAGAGACAACTAGTATTTTTTAAATATAAAAGTACATATAACTACATTTTGCCTACTTTAAATAGAACTTGTCCTACTAGTCTTCTGCAAGCAAACTTGCCTTCTACATGGGCAATCAATTCATTCATCCAAGTTTTTTTTTTTTCTCTTTCTTTATCTTCAACCCTGGTTGGTTGTAGTCACATAAGACTCATGTGGAAAGCTCCTTTATTCCATCAGAACATGTGATTTTTCAAGCAAATTTTCCCCCAGACCATTCTTAATACTTTCTGGATGTTCTTATAGCATTAATCTATTATGTACTTGTCCAAAAAATTAGTACTACTTTTCATTTTAATATTCCTTCTCATTCCTTTGTGAATCAGATATATCTAGGTTTGAATCCAGTTCTATCACTTCCTAGCTGAATGACCTGGAATAAATAACTTAACCTCTTAGCCTCAGTTTCTTTGTCCCTAGTGCAGATAATCATAAGAACCTCTCTAAGGAGTTGTGAAGATTAACTGAGATAAAGTATATAATTGTTTAGCACGGTAGCTGGCACCATGAATAAAGGTGCTGCTGCTGCTGATTGATTTCATTCTTGTTTCCCTTCCTTAACAGAATACGTTCAAGCAATGATTCTAGTGAATGAAGCAACTATAAGTAAGAATTCAACATTGGTAAAGGGTATGTACATTTCTAATCCCAATCTAGAGAATTTTCTGGTGTTTTCTTGACTTGAAGCAGGCCAGCCTTATTTATGTCAAGTTAACTAAAGATATTTTAAAATAAAATGTGATATCTATGTAGGTAAGTTATACAAATCAGTTTCCCTATTAAATGAAAAGTCCTACCCATCCAGAGATTGGAAATGTATCTCTTCTTCAAGAAAGCTTCTTGTATAAGAAGGGCAAAGAGAATTTGTTGGGTTTTTTTCCCTATCTTCTCCCCAAAGCCCTGCAGTATGTGGTTATATATTCTAGTTGTGAGTGCCTCTGGTTGTGCTATGTGGGATGCCGCCTCAGCATGGCCTGATGAGTGATGCCATGTCCACGCCCAGGGTCTGAACCATTGAAACCCTGGGCTGCCAAAGTGGAGCATGCGAACTTGACCACTTGGCCATGGGGCCGGCCCCAAAGAGAATTCTAAGACTGCAAACCACTGTAAACCCACATTGTGTGAAGAGCAATACTAGAAAGTTACTTTCTAGTGTAGATAAGCTGGTGGAAAATTTTTTCATATTAGACCATCAATCTTCCAGACTCTAAACAAATTCATTTTAGGAGGAATTAATCAAAGATAATGTACCAGGAGTAGAAAAGAAAAATTGAAAGTTATTTTATCAGAATCACTATCCTATAAATCTTAGTCTATTACTAGTTTGCTAAAATGTTGAGCAAGTACAACATTTACTAGATTTTAATTAACACTGCCAGATATTGTCAACAAATTGTGATAATCTTAACTGTCATAATTTGAAGCCTTAAGATTTTATTTTTTTTTATTAAAGATTTTATTTTTTCCTTTTTCTCCCCAAAGCCCCCCGGTACATAGTTGTATATTCTTCGTTGTGTGTCCATCTAGTTGTGGCATGTGGGACGCTGCCTCAGCGTGGTTTGATGAGCAGTGTCATGTCCGCGCCCAGGATTCGAACCAACGAAACACTGGGCTGCCTGCAGCGGAGCGCGCGAACTTAACTGCTCGGCCACGGGGCCAGCCCCGAAGCCTTAAGATTTTAAATCTCTGAAAATGTAGCCTAGCATCATCAGTCTAAACATTTTGTTATTCAAAAGTATTTTCAATTTCAGTAGCTAATCTATAATTTTAGAAGAATAGATTGTTTAAGAAAACAATCTTTTGCATGTAGTATCCTTCAGTAGCACTTGGAATCAACACACTCTTAAGGAATTACATTAGTTTTGCAAGAGACAGGCTTTTAAATGTAGGAGGAGGTAAGAAGAACTAATTCTAAACAAAGTTGTTGTTTTTTTCCTGAAACCATCTGTTTCTCACTCTAAAAGAAAGTAAGTTGAGTTTTCGTTTGGCTCTTTAAAGTAATAATGTCATCAATAGAAAGCTGAATATTATAATTTCATTTTCTACCCAGCTCATCTGAAATGTAGTGAATTTATCAAAATAAAAGAATATGTTTGCCAGTGATGGAGCAGTATTTTTAAGTAAGTAGGCAGTTATGTAATTGACATTGTTGTCAAGTGCACGGATAAAAACTTTCTAGTAATAAGCTTTCATGTTAGTATTTATTTTAAAAAGAATATTGAGACTGAGAGAAACAAAAAGACTTGATGTTGAGGTCAAAACAAGACATCCCAGATCCAGCCTAAACGCCCCAAACCACGAATTACCTTTCTTTTTTTTGTTTGTGTATAACTGTAAAATATTTGCTGTGTCCCCATACAAAGGATTGGATACTGTTTTCTTGAAAGGAATTGTTATTTCCCTTTTACCCCCTTATCTAATGATTAATTTTAAATCTCCATGTTTTTCAGTAAATCTTATTTCTAACTATGCTTCTATAAATATGTTTCATTTATATTTGTGATAAAGATTTATATGATTCATGCAAAGAAATTAGCTGGGAAAAATAAAAAATTCTTAATTAGTTGGTTATTATAGCTCTCTTCAACTATCAAATTTTTAAACTCTCTTTCTTTCCTGGAAAATTAAAGAGGGATATTTGTTTTCAAATTAGCCTAGCCAAGGAGAGACCTTGGATTGTAACTGAAACTATTCTTTTATTTACTTAAACGTTTTTTTCTTTTTAATAACACTGGTCTGCACTAAGGGACCAATGCAAGTTAATAACCTAAGGCAGGATGAGAATCACTTTTTTTCTTAAGGTCCATCAGTGCATAGGAAAAAAAGCATTTAAAAAAGATCTTTAAACCAAACATAGGATAGTCCACCTATCCATTTTTCAAAATAAGGACAGGAAATCTCTGGCTTTTTTCATTAAATACACAGCTTATTTCTATATTGTCATCATGTTAGAGTAAAAATAAATCAAGTAGAAAAAGAAGAGACAAAAACAAGATGAAATTAAGTGCAGAAAGATATAGGAGAGACTAAGAGAAACACTAAAAAACAAATGGAAAGACAAAAAGAGGTACCCAAATACCCCACCCCCCAAAAACAATAGTAGTAGAAGAATGAGAAAACAAAAGATACATAAAGTTTCCATTTTATGACCGTTTACAGAGCCTTTAAGAGTTATGTTATTTTCTGTAAAATAAGCAGAAGTAGGGATACTTGCTCTTCGTCTTAAAAGTTGATTAAAATTCAGATAAAGTTCAGGCCAAACTAGAGTTTCTGCAGTAGGAATCTGTTTTATCCTATCTTCTTTTCTTAATGTTTTTGAAAATATTGACGCCTCATTTTTTGGTTCAGTCTTGAAATCTTAATATGTTTGTAGATTTAAGGGCTAGTCAATAAAGATATTCTTAGATAATACAGTGAATGATTTTTAATTTGGTGTACTTGTTACTCATGTTTCTATTTTTTTCATGTAGATCATACATCTGTGACCCAAAATGAACAGGAAAACAAATCAATTTCATTGCCGTCTACATCCCATGAAGACTCCTTTCCGGAATACTGTACATTTCTGTATGTATATAGGTTAAATTTATTTATGTATGTAAAAGCAAAATGCTTTTGCTCTCAGAAAGAGATTTAATCTTTCTAATCATTTGACATAAGAATAGATAGAATATATAAAAAAGGATTCTTTCCCATCAAAAGCTTTAAAAAAATTGTAAATTTTAGTATTTTATGTAGGATAAAGGCTCATGAGTCCTTTAATAGGTTATTTATTTGTTAATGTCCCTAGGTAATCAAGCCTTTTGATAAAGTTTGGCTTTAGATCCCTTTGTGTATATTATTAATATACTGAAATCTACCATATGGCTATTTATTTTTAACTAGAAATTCTTTTTCTTGAATTATTTGTTTTAAAGTAGAGTATTGAAAAGAGTCAAAAGTATTTCTCTTAGTATCAGTTCAGTTTTTAAATGCATAACAGCTCTAAATTAGTATCAGAAGGTTATGAGAATAGGCTAAATTTTTCTGACCTTTTCTTTCTCTTTTGCCACAAATTCCAGTAAAGATCCTCAGCATAAAGTAGGAAATCTGACACTGATACTTAGTCTTTATTTTTAGTAGGTAAAGCCTGTGCTAAAACTTTCAAGTACTAGTTAAAGGGAAGCTTTTGAAAGTGTTTTGTGCTACGGCAGGGAACAGAATTTCAAAACACCAAAAAGTTTCTAGAGAAAGAAAATTCGTAGGTTTATTGCCTTATTTTGTTTGTCCTTTCAGCTACATATTAAATTGACCAAAAAAATTGTCAGTGTAGACTTATATTTTTTTCTTTTTAGTGTTTTTGAGAGTTGTAGATTGACACTATTACATATGATTTGCATTTACAAGTATTAGAGATGTCCTTACAGTTTGAGTCTAAAAGACTCATAAAACTTACTTTAAAATGCCCTCAGTTGGGGCCGGCCCGGTGGCGCAGCAGTTAAGTGCAGATGTTCCACTTCTCAGTGGCCCAGGGTTCGCTGGTTCGGATCCTGGGTATGGACATGGCACCGCTTGGCAAAAGCCATGCTGTGGTAGGCGTCCCACGTATAAAGTAGAGGAAGATGAGCATGGCTCTTAGCTCAGGGCCAGTCTTCCTCAGCAAAAAGAGGAGGATTGGCAGTAGTTAGCTCAGGGCTAATCTTCCTCAAAAGGAAAAAAAAACATGCTCTCAGACAAAGGTAAGTTCACACTTTTAAAACTCCTTGACTGGCCATTACAGTAGCTTACAAAACAAATTTTTTTTCTAGAAATTCTGACCTCCTGATATATAGCACAAGATTAATCACTGAAAATAATACTGGATAAGACAAGAACAGAGAAAAACCTAAAACCTGGCTGGCTCACTACTAGAGACCTCTTTTCATTACTCTTCAGAAAGAACTGTTCAACCAACCGTGAATTTACTTACCTGTACCGTCGTCCCAGCTACATTTCTCTATCTTACTCACAAGGCCTCATGAGAAATCAAGATTCACTGCTGTAGCATTCAATAGCATTACCAAACTTTATCGAAAAGGAAAATTAAGTTAATTTGTACTTTTCTCCCCTAGTCCATGTTGGCTTTTCAAATCCTAAGTGTTTAAAAACATGCTTGTTTCTCTCTTCTAGAAATTGTTCAGAGATCAATATTAAGCTAACCATTCTGTACTTTGTAGAATGTTACCTTTTTCCCTTTCTTAAAAAATCAGGGCAGCATTTTCCCATTTTTCATTCATATTTGAAGTTTTTTCAAGACCTTGAGATTTAATTTGTTTGGGCTTAGAATCTTAAATATATTTAAATAAACTAGCATTCTAGGATCCCTTTTTAACTATCACAGACTCAGTTCTTTTCATTTTTGTCTAGTCCCTCCAACTTGAGGGCGATACTTATGGATGTAAAAGACAAAGGCAAAATTGTTTTTGAGCTCTTCCTTCTCTCTCGTCAGTTAACCTTATGCTGTCTTTTCCCAAACTGATTGTCTTCTTAGTTCAAACACAGCTTTAAAAATTTTATTGTTGTTTTATTAGCATTTTTGGAAACCTCAGTTCTTAGTGGGTTTGAATCTTTGTGACAACTTTTCTTATAGGTTCACACCAATATTTTGTATTTGTAATTGGTCTTTTTTTCTTTTTTCTTTTTTTTTTTTTTTTAAGATTGGCACCTGGGCTAACAACTGCTGCCAATCTTTCTTTTTTTTTTTTTCAAAGATTGGCACCTGGGCTAACAACTGTTGCCAATCTTTTTTTTTTTTTCCCTCTGCTTTATCTCCCCAAACCCCCTGACCCCGTACACAGTTGTACATCCTAGTTCCATGTCTCTCTAGTTGTGGGATGTGGGATGCCGCCTCAATGTGGCCTGACAAGCGGTGCCGTGTCCGCGCCCAGGATCCGAACCCTGGGCTGCTGCAGCGGAGCGTGCGAACTTAACCACTCGGCCACAGAGCCAGCCTTTTCTTTTTTTCTTTTGTACATACATTCTTTTAAAAATCTGAGCTTCTTAGAGATATTAAATTGGTTTCTCTGTAGCTGCTTTCCCATCTCATTAGAATTATTTGTGATTGTGTAATTAGAACTTCATTTCCTTGGAACCTGCAGTTCTTCTTATGCTGTATTCCTATTCAGAGCCTTTGTCCATGAGGTCATACTTAACGTTGAGTTAAACTTTCTGAAATCTTTTCAGATGAAGGGACATGTCTAATTAGGCTCAGGTTTTCCTTCTTTGCCACTAAGAATTCCAAGGCCACATTTCATTCTTGACCAGAATTATCTTTAATTCCTTTTGTATTTCCTCTGCAGATCATGAGTTTATTACTTGTTTTGCTTTCAGTAGTTAAACTCCTAGAAGGCCAGCAGTCTCATAGGCAGACTGGCAAACTATGTGGCAAATCACTTAAGCCACAGGTTCTCAATCCCAGCTGAATTGCTCAAGAACATACAATTTGTTGATGGAAACACCAGAGTGAAAATCATAGGTCTGATAGGAAACTGGCTTTTTGTATTTTATTCTTGAGGTGAATTGAATTTCCATTCCATGTAAGTGAGCTATGACATAGGTAACTGTAAAAACATAAATTTTATTCCAATGATAATTCTTTTACAAAGATTTCTACTTTTGTAATGCCAGGAAGCCTGGCTTAATTCTTTTTCTTAGTCTAGTAGTTTGGTTTGTCAGGAACACACACCTATGCAAGCCAGCTTAAATAGTGGACTTTATTAGAGATATACCAGGCATGCAGATTTGGCTAGCATACGTGGTGAAAGTGGGCTTGCTCCACTGCTAAAAGACACAGGTGTGAGTTTGTCATTTGGCTTTTCATGTGACATGCACACAAATACCCAAAAGAGATTATTATTTTTTTTTAAAAATACAGACACGTACCTAACCTACACATACATATGTACACACACATTTGTAAATAAGCATTCAAGAACAGAAAAAGTAACACAGCAGACCACATAGGGACTAGAATTGGAGCTGGAAAATCAGTCCCTGAGGTCAAGGTCTACATTATTTAGCTCTGCTTCTCTCCATGTGTTATCAGTTGGTTCTTCTGTTCCCATATAGCCTAACATAGCTGCCCAAGCTAAACACTACATGACCTTCTAGTGCAAGTGTCACCTCATGGTATATATTTTTATATCTTAATATAAATTCTTGAGACAGACTATCAATAACCTAGTATGAATACATGATCCAACGTCTTTGAGTTCACTGAAATGAAAATGGCCACTTTTCAGAATAGGATGATCAAAAAAGGGACTTGGCAGAAAATAAACATGTCTATTACAGTCTTTAAGATGAATATAGCTTACGTTGATTTTATTTTTTATTATTTTGAGGAAGATTAGCCCTGAGCTAACATCTGCCACCAATCCTCCTCTTTTTCCCTGAGGAAGACTGGCCCTGAGCTAACATCCATGCCCATCTTTCTCTACTTTATATATGGGATGCCTGCCACAGCATGGTTTGACAAGCAGAGTGTGGGTCCATACCTGGGATCCGAACCGGCGAACCCCAGGCCGCCAAAGCAGAACGTGCAAAGTTAACAGCTGTGCCACCAGGCTGGCCCCTACATTCATTGTTTTTAAATATGCCCCTTCAAAGATCTTAAAGGATAGAATGACTTTTTACCTCAGACTTACCAAAAGCTAAGAAATCAGTTGGCAGTCTCTGAAGCCATGCTCTGCCTTGTAGTTCAAGGTGTCTAATGACAAAACAGTTCTCAAGCCACATACAAACTGAGAAGCTCCGACCGAGAGGCTGGCAGACAGGTGCAGACAATACCAGATAACCATACTTACCTACTTATCCTTTGTTTACCTCCAGCATTTTTATATTTTTGAAGGATCAGTAGCTAGGTTTACAACACTCCATAGGATTGGTTTTCTTTATTTTTGTTTTTGTTTTTGTTCTTCTCAGTAACATATCTTCATATGTATGAGAAAGTTAACCTTCTTCCCCATAAAATGGGATTGAAATTAGGTTACTTTACTTTCGAGACTTATAGCAAGTTGGTTTTCTTACATTTATTTTATGAAATGAGGCACAGATAAGAAAAGAATCATTTCTAAGGTTCATATCAGTGTTTCATTTCCATGTTTTTCTCCTTCTTGTTTCTAAGTTTTATTAAATATAATAAGATATTTCTCCCTGTGTTAATTGTTTGATAACTTGAGCCATACACCTCTTAATTTTTATTAGATTAGTCACCAGAAGAGTACATTTAAGCTGGGTTGGCTACCTTTCTTGAAATCCTAAGTTCCAAATTACGGATTTCACCAGCATATTTGCCATTACAAAGTTTAGTCCTAAGTTGTTTTGATTGTATATTCTTCCAGTAATGACTAACTTGAAGCTATACTTAAGTGTCACATGAGGAAATTATGTAAAACTACCTTGTAAACTGTAAACTACTGTACAACTATTAGTTATTATTTAAGAACTAAGGATAACTGGATACTTTCTCTCACATGCACCCTGAGTTAATCCTTCATATTCAGAAAAGAGCCTTTTGAGTCATCATATTAGTATTAACACATTGACATATTTGCCTTCCCCAAATATAGCACAACAGGAACAAAAAAAGATTATAGTTGAAATAGGGAAAATCAAATAATGACATTTGGAGAAAAGGATGCCACAGAAACCAGTTTAAATATAATTTATTTGGTTAAGGCAAGTTGAAAAGGGAAATGAAACATTCAGTTTACTGATTATACGACCCTATAGCTGTATAACTCACTTGAGAGTGAGTAGCCTGTATCAATACAGAACAAAGCCGCGAGAGCCTAAGAGAATTTATTCAGTGAATACTGAATGCAGCAAAACAAAGGGGGGTATATCTCAGGTAGACAAATAAATAGAATTGCTCAGAGTTCAGAGTATACTATAATGATTTATAAAAAAGAGTGATAGGAAGGAACTTGGCACTTGATAATAGGGGATTCCAGGCACAGGCTTTAAAAAACAAGAAACTATTGTATACCAAAATAAATAAATGAATGAATAAAAGCAATTACTAAAGTGGACTAGGTTAAAGAAGAAGTTAAATGGAAGAGTAAAATCAAAGGTGCATTATAGAATATATTTCTTAGTATGGAATGCACCCCCAACATTATTCAAAAACACTGAAATAGATTGAAGTTATTTAAGGGGAAACAATTTTTTAAAAGCCTTACTTGTTAGAAATACATACTGAATTAGTTGAGGTAAAAAGATATAATGTCTAGGGTTTGCTTTAAAATACTCTAGTTTGTTTCAGGGTGGGGCAAGAGGGGGGAGAATAGATGAAATAAAATAGGCAACATGTTGGTAATTATTGAAGCTGGATAACAAGTGTCAAAGATAAAGCCAGACGTTAGTTAAAGTGGTGAAAACAGATTTTATTCAGTAACTGCTGACAGTAGGGGAAAGGGCTGAGCTCCATTCTGATTTGTGCTGAGGTTACTGGCATTTTAAAGGGGAATGAGGGAGTAGGGAGGGAGGAAGGCACAGGCTCAAGTGAAAAATTACGGTTGGTCCTGTGTGGTCAGTGCACATGCCAGTGAGGCCAGCTGTGTGTGCTAGCAGGCAATCATGGAAGTTAGGATTCTGTCCTCCCGCAGAGACTGGAAGACAGAGGCCCTGTTCTTCCTGATGATTACCCTTCAAAGGAATGACTTTCAGGTCCTTGAGAAAAACACTCCTGAGTTGTAAGAGATACATATACATCTCAGAGGGACCAAGGAAAGTTTCACAATTGTAAAGCCCTTTTTAGTAAATTCTTGAAGAAAGAAAGGTCAGGGGCTTATCTTCAGGTGTTGGCTAGAAGAAACAGTAAATTCGCCTGGCAGCCTTGGGCTTTCTCAGGCAGGCACTTTATGGGGGGCGGTGGGGAGCACGGGGGCTGGAGTCATCCTAGAGACGTGGCAGTGTGCTGCTAAGAGCCTTGCAAGAGTTTGGTTGTCTCTTAGCGCAGAGGTTGGGACGGAGTCATCATGTGCCAAGAGTTCTGCAGCTCTCACAAGTACATGGGGTTCCACTATAGCAATCTGTTTTGAGAAAAATATACTCTTATGTGTATGTTTGAAAGTTGCATTAACAAAAAGTTATTTTTTAACGTATATTCCTGTCAAGCTAGTAATTCCCCTTCAAGGAATGTATGCTAAGATAATAATCAGGAATTTGGACAAGGATTTATGTATGAGGATGTTCATCAAAGTAGTAACATAGAGAAAAATTGGAAACAAATGTTTCCAACATTAAAAGTTTTATAAATAAATTATAGTACATCCTTTCATTTATTAGATTGTCCAAAATCCAAAAGCATGAAGAGCCATTGATTGATGAGGCTCTGCAAAAGCAGGCACTCTCATAAATTGCTGGAGGGGCTGACCCCAGGGAGAGCAATTTGACAATCTTAATAAAATTACTAATCCACTTACCCTGTGACCTAGTACTCCCACTTCCGGGAATGTATTCTTCAGTGATATCTTTACATGTATGAAAATTGTTATGTACAAGGTTATTCATTACATCATGGTTTGTAATAGCAAAAGATTGGAAACACTTGAGGACTAGTTAACTTGTGGAATTTACACAGAGTATTACAGCTGGGAAACGGATGGGGAACCTCATATCTGTGCATTCAGTATGGTAGCCCCCAGCTACATGTGGCTATTTATAAATTTGAATTAATTAAAATTCAGTGAAATTTAAAATTCAGTTCATTGGTTGCACTAGCTACATTTAAAAGTGCTCAGTAGCCACATGTGGCTGGTGAATACCCAGTTGAACAGCAAAGATATAGAACATTTTCGTGAATGCAGAAAGTTCTATTGGACAGTGCTGCTTTATATAGCGAGTATAAAAATATGTCTAAAACACGTTACTTTTATAATAAATAACAGACACCTAAAGATAAATAGAAAATATATGTAAAACAAACAGATTCTTTGTGAAAGTTTAAAACCCAAGTTTTAAACACATGAGATCTTTTCACAGATTTTACTTTCTTAATAACCTCCTCATTTTCTCCTGTCAGTTTACCATTTTCAGATGTGTCAGTATGGTGCCAGGTCATGGAAAAAATTCAGTTGGTACAATTGTTGAAGGCAAACAAACAACATAAAGGATTCTTGATGAATTAATTTTTTTTGGCTGGCTTTTAGTTCTCTGCAAGCAAAAAGCTTGAACCAAGCATGCCTGAAGATATAACCTTCCTCAGCTTGATAGTGAGTGCATGCTCTAAATGAACTCTGAATTTGTTAGGTGCTGTAGCAAAAAGTTATAGCTATAATCACAGCTTTCTGGAATATTCTGAAATTAGGTTGTAGTACAATGAGAAAGATATTTGGTCTTTGCCCAGGTCCCTGGCCATAGCTTCTAAAATCTTTGCAATCTCCTGATTAGTGAGAGTGTCTTTGGCATGCTAATGAGATGACTTTTGGTGAGGGGCTCATAGTTAGCTTGAGGATGGGGCATGGTCTCCAGATAGACTAAACTTTGGTTAGAAGTTTGAAACTTTCAGCCCTGCCTCCCAACTCCAGGGAAGGGAGAAGAGCTGGAGATTGAGATAATCGCCACTGGCCAAGGATTTAATCAATTGTGTTTACGTTAATGAAACCTCCATAACATAAAAATCTCTAAACCATGAGGTTCTGTGAGTTTCCTGGTTGGTGAACAGTTTTAGGTGCTGGGGTGGTAGCATTTATGGAGAGGGCATGGAAACTCCATGCTCCTTCCCACTTACCTTGCCCCATGCATCTCTTTTATTTGGCTGTTCCTCAGTTGTATATTTTGTTATTAACTGGTAATAGTAATTAAAGTGCATTCCTGAGTTCTGTGAGTCTTTCTAGCAAATTATCAAACCTGAGGAGGGGTTTGTGGAAACCCCAAGGTCGATCAGAAGTATGAGTGGCCTAGGACTTGTATTTGGCATCTGAAGTGGGGAGGCACTTTATGGGACTGAGCCCTTTAACCTGTGGGATCTGACACTAACTCCAGGTGGATAGCATCAGAATTGAATCGAATTACTCATTGAAGAAGTGGTGCTGGAGAAAACACCACAAATTTGGTGTCTGGAGCAAAAACCCCTTTGAGGTGTAACCTTTATATGACTGCAGAACATAGTAAAATGTTTATTTCAGAGCCTGGTTTATTTTAGTGGTATCTAAGAAGAAGATAATAGGAAGTAATTACCACTTTAGTGGGCAGTGCTTTTTAAAAATGGGAATTGTACTATAAATTTGAGATACTAATAAATAATTAATTTTAAACAGATTCCCCCAAAATAAGGAAATTTCTCCTCTGGAAAATAGAGTTGCAAACTTTAGAAAAAAAGAGTCATCTTCAAATTTATCTTACCAAAGTCATGACTGCTCTGGTGCCTGTCTGAAGAAAATGCCACTAACCTTCAAGGGAGAAAACCCTCTGCAGCTGCCAATCAAATGCCACTTCCAAAGACGACATGCGAAGACAAACTCTCATTCTTCGGCACTCCATGTGAGTTATAAAACCCCTTGTGGAAGGAGTCTACGAAACGTGGAGGAAGTTTTTCGTTACCTGCTTGAGACAGAATGTAACTTTTTATTTACAGATAACTTTTCTTTCAATACCTATGTTCAGTTGACTCGAAATTACCCAAAGCAAGAAGAAATTGTTTCTGATGTGGATATTAGCAATGGAGTGGAATCGGTGCCCATTTCTTTCTGTAATGAAATTGACAATAGAAAGCTTCCACTGTTTAAGTACAGAAAGACTATGTGGCCACGAGCATATTATCTAAACAGCTTTTCCAACATGTTTACTGATTCATGTGACTGTTCTGAGGGCTGCATAGACATGTGAGTAGAAAAACATGACATTTCAAAAAATCTTCTGAATGTAGGAGTACTTCAAGAAGTCTTGCTGTGTATTAATTTGTCTGTCTGACTGTCTCTGTCTGTCTAAAACCTGTTCACCAAAAGTCTGAAATGGAAAGATGTACTCTCTCACCAGCAATGGAAAAGAAAACTCTTTGGCAAATATTATAGTAATTTGAAAATTGTTTCTTCCTTGGATGAGTATGTGCTTTAATCTAGTACCATAATCATAATAGCAACAAGTACAGTTAATGCCATGTAACAGTGCCAAACACTGTGACATGTTTTACATAAATTTTCATATTTAATCCTCACAAAACTCCATGAAGTAGGTAATATTAGTTCCATGTTACAAATGAGGAAGTTGAGAAGCCAATTGTAAGGTCATAGGGCAACCAAATTGAAGAGCCAGGATTCGAACCCATGCTCTTTACCACTTTGTAATATGTTGTATTTTACAAATCATTTCCTTGCTACTTTTTAGAAAGTTAATGTGCTTATAATTTGTACTCTCTTCATCATAATATTGGCATTCCATAAAAAAATAAAACATGTTCCTGATGTATTGAGATTTTAAACACCACTTTGATTTAAAAATATGTAATATACATGTATTTGTAGGTATACCTATATAGAGTGGAGTTGCATTATTTGTATATTTAATTTAATGCAAATTTAGCTACCTGTACTAGGCAACAGAAAAAGAATGAGAGAGATGAAATAATTTAAATAGTATAGATAGTAGTTTTCACCATCTTCTCAGTTAGTTGGAGTGTGAGATGAGATACATAAATGTACCATTACCTCAATTTGGCTCCAGTTCCTTTAGCCCTGTCATAGAGGAAACCTCTTACTGTGCCAAGTTTTAGTCTATTTAAAAATGTTTTGATTTTTTTTTTAAACATTGCTTCTAAATATAATTCAACTGTATCTGGCCAGTCTCATTCAGTGCTAGAGAAAAAAACTGACTGTTGAACAATGTTTAATCTAGTTTGTGGTCAATTTATAGGATCTTTTAAAGAGTAATTTTGACTATATGTGATTTTTGCCTTTAGACTTTAGAAACTACCCCTCACACAATATGGAACACCAGTATACGTATTTTCATGTATTGGTCAGACATAACGAGAGAAATCACAACAATAAGCAAAGGCTGAATCTGGAAATGGACGTGAACACTGTGGCCAGGGATTCTAATTCTTACAGGAATGAGAATTAAACGTGTCCCATGCATGGCAGAGAGTGGGCACTGAGCTCTCCAGGGGGCTAGAAACAGGGACCTGCACAAGACTGAGAAGTAGGCTAATATCTCACAGGGCCTGGAATTGTACTAACAACAACCAGGTTTAGATCTGTGAAACGCAGAGGTGAGAGTCAGAGCAATGAGGAAAACAGCCAACATAGAGGAGCACACAGAAGTAAACCCCACAGAAAGTGTGATTTCAAACAGTCAAAGCACACAGAGACATTTAGGACCATGAAGGCATCATGAGTCCCAACAAATGAGAGAATTCACACCTGAAGAATCAGAGATAAGTGTAGAATCTGATTAAAAGAGACTTTAAAATAGATATGTCTAAAATTCCAAAGAAATAAAATATTAGCATCCATGTAACAAGAAAAGGTGATTTTTTTAAGGTGTATATGAGAAAGAACCATTTGGAAATATGGGAAATAAAACATATGGTAATTGAAATGAAAAACTAAATAGATAGACTAAATGGTAGCATCGGTATAGCTGAGGAAAGAATTAGTGAACTGCAAGGCAAAACTAAAGAGATCTCCCAGAATGCAAAGAGATAAAGCTATGGGGAAAATAACTTACAGCTTATGAAATGATGGCGGATAAGATGAGAAACTCCAACACACATCTGAGAAGAAAAGAGCTGCATTCAAAGAGAGAATAGCTGAGAATTTTCCATGATTGAAGAAAGATAGGAGTCCTCAGAATGAAAAAGCCTACTGTGTACTAAGAAGGGATAAGAAGATAAATGTACATCTAAATATATCATGATACAACTTAAAAAGTGTCTAGGGTAAACAGTAAATCTCAAACGCTATCAGATGGAAAAGAGAAAAAATAGGCTGACAGCATACTTTTCATCAGAAATAATAGAAGACAAAAAAGGCATATTAGCTTAAAATGCTTTAGGAAAATAAATGTAAAACTAGAATTCTGTACCAAGCCAGTCATTTTGCAGGGGGAGGGAGTGAGGTATTCAAACAAGGACACAGCAATTGAAGACGTGCATACCTACTTTCCAGCAAGAGTACTTTTAAGTGTTTCTAGAGCATTATTTTCCAAGCTACCGATTTAGTGGGATATAAAATCATTTAAGGGGTTGTAACTGGCATTCTTTTAAATTGAATAGTACAGAAAATGCCTATGTGCATCACACATGATAAAGTTCCATGCCACTGTTTTTTTCCATTTATACATACACACACACATAAATATGTGTGCCTATGTAGGATCATGAAGAAAATGTATCTCTTACTGTGAGTCATAATAAAAAATATTTGAATAATGCTACTCTAGAGATGCTTACCCATGTGCATAAGAATAAGGATGTTCATTGCAGTGTTGTTTGTTATATTGAAAACTGGAAGCAACTTAATTGAAGTGCTGTAGAAAAGTTAAAAGAAATTAACTAGATTTGTATATAACACAGATGGGTCTCCAAAACATTATATGGAACCAAAAAAGCAAGTTATAGCATAATAAATAGAGTAAAAATTTTAAAACAGTACAATATATTGTTTGTAGATATGTCTGTGTATGTAAAAGTATAAAGTATGCAACACCAAGCCTCTTGAGAGTTTAGTTTTATCTGTACTGTTTTATTTTATTTTTAAAGATCATGTATACAGTGTATGTGTTTTAAATTAGATACATAGGAAAAAGAAGGAATAGACGAAACGATGACAGCTAATTCTATGTGGTAGAAATATGGGTGTTTATTATATTATTATTTGTATCTTTCTGTACTTTTTAAACTTGGCAAACAAAATCATATCAAAAAAAGCAACTGTAGATTTCTACATCTGTAAGTAGAATCCAAATGAATGAATTTGTTTATTTTCTGTTGCAAACAGTTGCTATCATTCTATGACATGTATTATGTATATACAGAAAAATGCAGAAGAGAATCATAGAGGAAAAGACTTTCAAGTTGCTTGTTCAACAAAGGAGACAAGTCCAGAAATTTTAACCAGCTCACCAGTAATCACATATCTAGGTTATAAGATACCCAGTTTCCTTACTCCCTATCAAGTTGTAAGTCCCTGCCATGTTAGATAATCACTTAAATAGTTGGAGGAAAGAGAGCTTTATGGTTGCATGTTTCCTGCTTAGCAACATTATGAAAAACAGATTGTAGTAGTGAGACACCTAGCATCAGTCTCCCCAATCCGTTTTCATATTATTGGAGGGAGAGAGAATTTAAGACATCTGCAAAATCATGCATGCCCTTTCAAGTTTGACACACATAAGTTTATCCATTGTAGGAGAGTGGACCTAGGAGAATTTTCACAAACAAGCTTCTACTGATAGATGTTGTCTTTCAAAGAAGTCTATTTAAGGAAGAAGTCCAACTGTCCATGAGCCAAACAACTGTGCTAAATACAATTATATCCTTTTTTATATCATTTGCACTTTTATCAAGACAGTCTCTTGGTGCTTTTTTGTTCTGACTTCTCCATCCATTGCCTTGCTTTTAGAACAAAATGTGCATGTCTTCAACTGACAGCAAGGAATGCCAAGACTTGCCCCTTGTCAAGTAATAAAATAACCACTGGATATAAATATAAAAGACTACAGAGACAAATACCTACTGGGTAAGATACCTTGAGGATTTGTTGCAGGTTGTTTGTATCTTTGAAGGTGGGTACTTTATCATTGTGACCTATAGTCTTATAGATGTTGTTAAATCTTAATTTCTTATACCAAAAATCTCAAGGAATAAAAAACCCAAGCCTTTATAAATATAATATATAAATAATATATATATAATACAATATATAAATAAATATAATATATAAAAATATATATTATATATATGTAATATATATAAAAGGATATATATATTTATATATATAAGATATATATATATAAGAAATACACTGTGCAAAAAGCTCATCTGAGAATTGGGAATTTTCAACCTTTTAAGATTGTTGTTATTAAAAAATAAACAGAAACAGAAAACTTTTCTTCCTAGACATTCCCTTCCCAGACATTTTCTTCTTAAACATTTTTTTGTTTGGTTTTGTTTTTCTTGTTGGGAAAGATTCACCCTGAGCTAACGTATGTTGCCAATCTTCCTCTCTCTTTTTTCCCTACCCAAAGCCCCTGTGCGTAGTTGTATATTCTAGTTGTAAGTCCTTCTAGTTCTTCTGTGTGAGCTGCCGCCACAGCATGGCTACTGACAGACAAGTGGTGTGGTTCCACGCCCAGGAACCGAACCCAGGCTGCCAAAGGGGAGCATGCTGAACTTTAACCACTGGGCCATCAGGGCTGGCTCCCTTAGACATTTTTATAGAGCTAACATTTACTGTGTGCCAGGCATTATCTCAAGCACCTTAGAAATATTGACTCATTTAATCTTCACAAAACAACCCTATGAGGTAGGTACTGTCATATAATCCCCATTTTAAAAATGGAAAAATTGAAACAGAGGTTAAATCACTCATCCAACACCATGAAGCTAGTAAATGCTGGAGGTATGATGGGAACTCAGGCAGTCTAGCTGTAGGAGCCTTCACGCCTAGTCTACCTCCCTTGGTAATTATTAGTGAGGTAGCAATATAAACTGCATTTGCTCTTAATTTAGGATGCCTGGTTGATTTTCTCTTACATATTCTATTGACAGCATTTATGAATGCAGCCTATTGTGCAAGTGTAATCGACAAATGTGTCAAAACCGAGTTGTCCAGCATGGACCTCAAGTGAGGCTGCAGGTATTCAAAACTGAAAAGAAAGGATGGGGAGTACGCTGCCTAGATGACATCGACAGAGGAACATTTGTTTGCATTTATTCAGGTAAAGCAAAGGTTTGTTTTCAAATTACTCCATAGTAAGGTCTACCTTTCTGAATCTCCGTTTTATTAGTCAGGGCCATTGAGATCCTATAACAAGGACAAGAGCAACTTGCCTTCAGAGGAAGGCAAGTGACTGGGAAATTGAGTACTGAAGGGATGAGATCCCTTAGGAGCTCCTGGATGTTCCAGAAAAGAAAGACTCAGAGATAAAACTTAGGTTATTGTGTGAGGCACATTTTTTTTGTCTCCATGGCTACAGATGCTTTAGGGTAAGATAAGAAAACTTTTTAAATAGGAAAATTAAATGACTGACTAGCCAAGGTAAAGATTATCAAAGACTATCTTGTTTTGAGCTGTTAGAATTTAATAAGTTAATTTTGTGATAAATACCTGCATGTGGTGATTCAGGCAGTGACTTTAGGCAGCTCACTTGAGAGAGCTGCCCTCATTCAGAGCAAAACTTCCCAACCAGTGTGTTACTCTCGTACAGTTTCTGATTCTTTTGGGCCACAGCCCTCAGGCCAGACATGTCGGTCTTCAGTAGTCTGTACCATTTACCCCAGAGTGTCAGGCAAAAAGCCTCACTTTCTATGTGTACCATGAAATGAGAAAGGTTGAGTAAAAACGGCTCAAGAGCCAGTCTAAAGGAAATGTGCTGGACTGAGTCTTGACAGCTAGGCATCAGGGACCAGAGCAACCCTCCTCATCTAAAATTCCAGATTCATTTCAGTGAGGGCAAGAATTATCAGAATTCAGATTCATTACACTTAAATCCCTACCACATATCACCTACAGCCACACATACTACACAACTTGGCCATTCATCTCTCATATTTCTCAAAATAACTGATGAAAGTCAGCTGCCTATGAAATGCCAAATGGTGCCCAGGAAGTATCATTGGCATTGTCTGTGTTGCTAGAGATTTCACCTAAGTTATCTGTCTGATCCAGCTGCTAATTTTGACTCGATAACTGTAATTTTGAATCCCTTGAAAGAAAATGCATAAACTTTGATTTTAATGTTATGCTAGGACTTAATATGAGAACAGTAGGGACCTATCACCACAGATTTAAATAGGCCACTTTTATAGAAAGAGTATAGGTTTTAAGTTATAAAGCATTTTTATCTAGAGATGCCCTTTTGCTGGTTAGCAATTATCTTTTGTCATGGTAAATTCTTTTACTTTTTTCATTTAGGAAGATTACTAAGCAGATCTAACACTGAGAAATCTGATGCTATTGATGAAAATGGAAAAGAAGAGAATATTATGAAAAATATGTTTTCAAAAAAGAGGAAAATAGAAGTTGCAGATTGTGAGGTTGAAGTTATCCCTTTAGAATTGGAAACACATCCTAGAAGTGCTGAGACTGAGACCTGTCCACCTAGGTTGAGTAATAATCTGAAACAGCCTGTTCCGTAAGTAAGCTCTTAGGAGGTCAGTCAGGATTGATCTGTTTATGTTATTATCAAGACTCGTTCTTTGTCTTTCCTCTTTTTCTTTCTTATTTTCTCCCCAACTCCTTTGTATCTCCTATGTATTAGTTTGCTTCACAGTTGTAAGTTTAACACTGTGAGAAATCGAGGACACTTAGATTTAAAAATCTAACCTACATACTTTATTCCATCAGTGTTCCATTTCTGGAGTTTTACCTTAAAAAGTTTATGACTTTAATCAGGTTCTTTATGGATGTCGTATCTTTTGCAGTTCTTTTTTATTTTCTATCATCATTTATTTGCAAAGCTTTTCATAGATTTTCTTCATTTTTATTAACATACTTCAGAAATGATTGACTTTAAAATATGATTATATTTCCTCCTTCTAGTGAAGGCTAGGCATAGGTCTTATTTAGATTAATTTCTAATGGGTATTTATGTAGCAGTGATATTATCTATAATTCAAGATCCAGTAAAGAGAAGTTTTAGTGATATGCAGACTTTCTTTTCCTTTTCAGAGAAATGAAATGTAACAATACTTCAAGAATTCAATATCATTCAGTCATTAGAAGTCCTAAAGCCAAGACAGCCTTTATTCAACGCAATGGGGAAAAGATGGTAAAAACTGCAAAATGCAAATTGGGCCCTTCTGAGAACATTAACTATTATCTCTCCTTTCTATGTTTTACTTAGTTTAGATTGTTTGTGTTACTTAATTATGTGTAGGATTTCTTTTATTGTTTTGGAATGGGTGTACAGTTGAAGTATGAGGACCATGTTTTATTTACTTAGTATCCTCCATGGTGGTTGGCATGTTCCCACGTTAGATATATAAGGAGAATGCTAGTTATGATCTGACAGTGTGTTCCACTGAGCCTGAGACCTATCCAGTTCTGAGAATTTGTAGGAGAAGCTAAAGTATTCAAGAGTTGATAGTGATACATAATAAGAAAAAGAGTGGAGTAATTAGAAGCAGAGAAAGGTGCAGGAAAAAGAACAGAGGCAGACATAATGGTAGTTCACTGTAGGGCTTGTTGATGAAAAATAAAAACTCCGCCCTAGGTGGTGTGCAAATATTTTCCCTCTGCCTGGTGACATACAGAGGGTGCTTCCTCAGTATCACATAATTATGAAAAGATAGAGCTGTGGGATCACATAGGCCCAGGTTTGACTTCCAGCTTTGCTTCTTTCTACCTAAGTGACATCTCCATATCTATTTTTCTTTAACTATAAATTGAGGGTAATAGTATCTATCTCAGAGTTAAGAGGATTAAATGAGATAAACACCAAAACTTTGTGTAGCACAATGCTTGACACCCAACTAAGTGCTCAATAAATGTTGACCATTTAAGTACTTGAATAGTAATAACAATGGTCAGCATTAGTGAGCAGTTAGTTGAGTGCCAAGCATTGTGCTACGCATACACCCTTTTTAAAAGTTACTGCCATTTAGAGTGACTGCAGTGTCTACAATGCATAAATATAGGCAACTCCTTTAACCGTTTCTTTGAAGCAGAAACTAGCCAAAGAGTGTTTTGTCCTTGCACATCTTATAGTTGAAGCCAAATTTATAATCTGGTGTCAGAATTGAGGGATATAGACAGACGTATTTGAATTTTATTTTGAATTTTAATGTCTAAATACATTTAATGCCTAAAGACAGTCTTTACAGTCTTTATAGCTGTGGCTTACTAAACTATCTAGAAGTAGAATACAACCAAAAGGGCTCCATCGCTCCAAAGATTCCTTATGATATCAGCTTTGTGGCTTTCAAAACTAATCTAGTAGATACGATTAGTTTGTATGAAGTTTATGAAGATTGACTCTTGATAAAAGAGGCCTAACTGCTAAATTAAATTCTTTTACCTGACCTAGAAAATAAAGACATCTTCCTTGTCTTCTTTTAAGGGATTTACTTCCTCAGACTTTGTTGCCTCAGAAGATGATGGATTTAAACCAACCCAAGTACATCTGAACTCTAAAGCCATGGAAACGAAAAGTAGGCTTTGTTTAACTCTGTAATTGCCTGCCTCTTCAGCCTTTTTGTCTCTCTTGCTCAATACCTGTGGCTCGTTTTCTCAGACTCCATAACAAACATGCTGCATTCTTCATAAAAGTTACTACTTGTCTTGATCAAAGGTTGGCAAACTATGGTTTGTAGGCCAAATCTGGTGGCCCACCACCTGTTTATCTATGGCCCATGAGCAAAGACGATTTTTACCTTTTTAAATAACTGGAAAAAATGAGAATAACGATATTTCATGACATTTGAAAATTATATGAAATTATCATTTCAGTGTTAATAAATAAAGTTTTATTGGAACATAGCCACACTGACTTGTTTAGATATTGTCTCTGACTACTTCTGTACTGTAGCAGCAGAGCTGAATAGTCACAACAGACCATATGGCCCACAAAGCCGAAAATATTTTCTATTTGGCCCCTTACAGACCTTTGCCGACCCCTGGTCTAGATGCCAACAGTGATCTGATGCGTGGTAGGAAGGAGTGGGGTGGACAGCTCTGAGCCTATATAGTCCACCATGTCATCTATGGCTTTGGAAGCACTGTCCAAAGCAGCCATTTCCTAACTCTTTGTTTGGGGCTCCTTTAAAAACAAAGACACATGATTCTCCTGCAGTACTACAACCAGTGCTGCTGCAGGGGATGCTCAGTAAAAATATTGCTACCCTGAGTGCTTGTCTTTAAGTGTTGCTGGTCCTGCCACAGTTACTATTACAACCTGGCAAACCTGGATTTTGGTACTTTTGCATTTCACTAATCCCTCAGTGGAGAGATATTACTGAGAGATGACCCTTTTTGAAGAGCTGCCCAGCCTTTGCCTCTTCTCCCTTTAAGCTTCCTTACCCCTGCACCTCCAACTCCCAACCTGGTCTTAAAGGATGGAGATTGGGAGAGGCAAGGCAGCTCCTTGACAGAAAAGGTCTATCGAGAAAGGGCATTTATGTATTACAATTATTTCACCATTGTAGGGGAGGAAAATCTCTTCCTCTACCTATCTTGGGTTGTCTAGCTGGATCCCTGTAAATTAGACTGAGAGAAGATAGATTGACAAGAGAAAAACAAATAGAAGTTTATCACCATGTATTACCATTACCATGTGTACCATATATATAGTTCATGGGAATACGCAGAGATAGTAACTCAAAGAAGTGGCTTAGAACTCCAGCTTATCTAGCATCTTAGCCAAAGAATACTTCTGTAGAGATGTGTGTGTGAGTGTGAATGTGAGAGTGTGAGAGGAAGATTGGCCCTGAGCCAACACCTGTTGCCAATCTTCCTTTTTTTGCTTGAGGAAGATTGTTGCTGAGCTAACTTCTATGCCAGTCTTCCTCTATTTTATGTGGGATGCTGCCACAGCATGGCGTGATGAGTGGTGCTAGGTCTGTGCCCGGGATCTGAGCCTGTGAACTCTAGGCCACCAAAGCGGAATGTGCGAATTTAACCACCATGCCACTGGGCTGGTCCCAGAACAATACATTTTTAGAGCAGCAACAACGCAAAGGAAAAGGACCTTGAGTCTCTAGGGGCAGTAAATTGTAGGGAGGCAATATATGGAAAAGCAATGGTAGATAAAGGCTAGTTAGTAAAATCTGTTATATAGATTCCTCTGGTTCAGTCTCCAGGCTGATAAAGGTGTAAAGTTGTCTCCTGTGATTAACTTTCATCCTTCCTGGTAGGAAGGACACCTTTGTAAATTTGTGTCCTGCTTTTAGGCAGATAGAGGAAGAGCAGAGCTTTTCCTGCGTATGCTGCTTAATTGCCCTTAGCTCAAAATAATTCTTATGTCAAAAAGGCATATTTTGGGATGACATATTCTGATTTCCTTCAGCATTTAATGCACGTGAGCTATAATGAGTACTATTGCTTTTGTTTTTTTGTCGTTTTCGTTGACCACTACTATGTATATAGCAGGCACTACGAAAATCAGTTATGTACTATTATGTCTCACAAGTAACCCATGATTAACATACGAGAATATGTAGGAATAATAGCCAGCAACAGTAATGATTAAATCAAGAACACTAATTTTAGAGAAACAGAATTTCTTTGTGCCACTGAGTTAGGTGGCACAAGTGATATTTTTAAAATAAATGACTTTACTTATTCCGTTGGACATGCATTCATACTTTTGAATATTCTCAAAAAACTATTTCCATTATTAGATAAAAATCATTAAGCAGTTCATCATCTTCTAAAGTATTATTGTTTGTAAAAGAGTAATTATTGAATGATTGTCTAGCAAAAACACCAAATGCTAATCTGTACAAAACCCATAGCAACATAGTTATTGCTGTTGGCACTTGTAGAGGGTCAGTGACCCCAACGGGTGTTCTCAGGGCTTTCATTTGTGTCTTAAAGGCCTGGAGTGCTCCCTGAGCACTCACTGTGTTGTAGCTGTTTAGAATATTCTTAAATGCACATTCCAAAGTTGAAGAGAGGTAAGTCAGTTTGAGGAGTAGAGATTAAATACAGTAACAGGAAGCAACATATGTAGATTCTTAAAAAGGCAAAAAAGGCACTCTTATGTAGTAGGAAGAAAGCAGACTTTGGAGCCAGACATTTCTGGGTTTGTTACCCCACTTATTATTATTGCTGGTCAGGTGAATCCCGTAACCCTCAGAGGCTCAAAGTTTTCATTTGTAAAATTGGAGTACTACCTACCTTAACACATTTTGAAGATTACCTTAACACATTTTGAAGATTAAAGCAACTAGCATTTTATTAGTATTGTTAATCTCAGCACTATTGCTCAGCCAATATATTTCCTGACAATTCCTTCCAAAATGTTTACTAGAGGACTCAAGCTCAAACCAAATTGAAGATTCCGAAGACAATCTGCTGATTGAATCAGATGTGATAGATATAACTAAAGGTAGAGAAGAAACTCCACCAGGGGGCAGATGTAACCAAGCAACCACATTGGATAATCAGAATATTATAAAGGAGTTTGAGGTTCAAATACAAAAGCCCCAAGAGGAAAAATCTCCAGCATGTCAAAACCAGCAGGTCTTTTGTGATAAAGAGTTGCCAAGTGAAACCAAGAATACTTCATCTGATTCTCTAAAGAAGTTCAATAAAGGGAATGTGTTTTTATTGGATGCCACAAAAGAAGGAAATGTGGGCCGCTTCCTTAATGTGAGTATATGGGCTGAGATTCACATTTCTAAACAACTTTTTTTCTATGCTTTTTAACAAAATCATGAGGAAAATATGATTAACAGACTCTAAAGCCAGACTACCTGGATTAGAATGCCAGTGACCTCCACTTATATGACCTTGGGCATGTTAGCTGACCTCTCTATGCCTTATTTCCCACATTTATAATATGGAGATAATAATAATAATAACTGTCTTCATAGGATGTTGTGAAGATTAAGTGAATTATATATATAAAGTGCTTAAACGGTACCTAGGACATAGTAAACATTTGCCTAAAAAAACTAGAAGAAATGGTATATAAGAAAACTATTTATGTTTATTGAAAGGTTTTCAAGATTTGTTACTTCCAAAAAATCACAGTGGGACACAGAATAAGTTTCTCTCTTGAGTCTTATGTAATACAATAGGTCTTATTCAAAAATGCCTCTAAATGGCCAAAAAAAATCAGTTGGAGGTATTTATGTTTTATTTACTCTTAAGTTTTTAATTTTTTTAATTAATTAATTTGTTTATTTTTTGACGAAGATTAGCCCTGAGCTAACTACTGCTAATCCTCCTCCTTTTGCTGACGAAGACTGGCTCTGAGCTAACATCCATGGCCATCTTCCTCTACTTTATATGTGGGATGCCCACCACAGCATGGCTTTTGCCAAGCGGTGCCATGTCTGCAGCCCAGATCCAAACCGGTGAACCCCAGGCCACCGAGAAGCAGAACGTGCAAACTTAACTGCTGCGCCACAGGGCCGGCCCCATATTTACTCTAAGTTTTGAATGTTCTAGTGGCTTGGTGTAGAAAATCAGTACATTTATCAGAATATTGCATTTTACTATCTTACTCTTTTTTCCCCCCAAACCATAGTCATTTTCTGTTTGTGTATATGTTTGGGATATATGTAATGAGATTTATTTTCACTTATACTGAGAAATATTTATGATTCCTCTGATTTTAAGGTTAATTGATACTTAAGACTCCGGTTATTTTCATGATAAGAGGTATAATTTGTATTGTTGGTCATATCTCCTGTGTAGGGTGGAACTGGACTTATCTTGTGGCTTTCCCATTGGACTCCTATCCTGTCCTGTGTCTTAGCATCATATGTGGTTATCAAAGAATGTGTGGTCCCAGGAATCCTCTAGGGAAAAAAAGCCCTTCAACCCCTTCAATACTGCCCTTCAGCCTCCAGTCCCAGTGTCTCTATAGTCTCTCCTGTGTTTGGCGAACGGGACCATGTGGAAGCTGTGACCCACCTAATCAGGAGCTGAGCGAGGCCCTGCTGCATGCCTCCTGCTCTCTGGGTTCCACTTTGTCCTTGCTTATCATATCTGAGAGAGTGAAGAGGAGTCATGGAAGGAGGCTGAGAACTTTTATCCCCTCCACACATCCTTTGGAAAAGTTCATTCTAGCACACAGACCTGGATATGGCCTTAATTTCTCTCTTTGATCTCTATTAGAGCTCTTCTTCTTCCCTGTGGGGTGGAATTAGTGGGATGGGCAACCTTGACTTTTCCCTTAAAATAACAGTGAAGAAAGGGAAGCATGTGTGGCCTGTCATTGTTACAGGCATTCCCTTTGACACCTTTAAGGTAAGCTCAACGCCTCTTTAAAGTGTGGCCTTTGAATGGTTTGAAATTTATATGCAGTGATAATTTTACATGTAATTCAGCTGCCGTCAGAAGAGAAAATATTCTTAAATCAGAAAATCTTTAAAACCAAAGAGGTTTTTCCTTGCTAGGTGAATTTGCTTATTTGGCTTATTTCTTTTTGTCTCTCCTAGTTAGCAGTCTACTTGGTTAACAGGCAATAGAATCTTCTCCTCCCTTCTTCTGTCCCCCAAATGCTGTTCTCTATTCCACTTTGACTGCTTTTACACTATCACCAAACACCTCAGGAGCTGTTAAACATGTCGTGGGAGCGGTTAAAGAAGGATCTCCAGGAAAGGACTGTCATGGCTTTATTTCCTGTCGGTTATGTTGAATGGTGGCTGCACCAGAACAGTATGGTTGGTGTCACCTCTCCTAGTCAGCACATGAGCCAGGTCCCTCCCTTGTTTGTAGAAGGGAAAAAAACAGGGCTTTTCTTTCTTTAATTCAATTTTTTTGTATAAATAATATAGTCACATGATTTAAAAATTGAAATAAAATAAAAGCCATACAGAATACATGCAGCCAAACAGAATTCTGTTTCAAAGTAGCTCTGAGCCTGCCGAGTAGACACCATGAGTAAAGCTCACTGGCCCAAATTGAAAAAATGTATGGACAAGAAGTTATCATTGAAATTAAATGGTGGCAGACATGTCCAAGGAATATTGCTGGGATGTGATCCCTTTATGAATCTGGTGATAGATGAATGTGTGGAGATGGCAGCTGGTGGGCAACAGAACAATGTTGGCATGGTGGTAATAGGAGGAAATTGTATCATCATGTTGGAAGACTTGGAAAAGGATAAATAATGGTTGTGTTCAGCAGAGAAATCAGTTGGTCCCCCCTTCCAAAGGGCCTGTTTGACTATAATGTAAAGCTCAGGTCATATACATTCTTCATATTAAACTTTTTTGTTTTGTTAAAAAAAGAAAAACATACCTTGAGAAATACTGCACCCCCATTCATGCCTGCCCCTACTCTACCCTCTATAGTAAAATTATTTTTATTAGCTTATTTTGTATTCTTAAAAAGTGTTTCTTCGTGCAAATACAAGTAAATATAAATATGTGTTCTTATTTCTCCCCTTTTCTTACATAAAAGATAGTATATTATATTCACTGTCCTACACCTTGTTTTTTAAATTAACAATATACCCTGGGATCTTTCCATATCAGGAGACAGACAGCTCATTCTTTTTGTTTGTTTGATCTGTTTATAGCTTTATAGAATTCCATTGTGTGGATATACCAAAGTTTACTTAACCACTCCTCTATAGATAGACATTTAGATTGTTTCTAAATTTTTACTGTTAAAATCAGTGCTCAGTGAATAATCTTGCACATAGGTACATGTTCAGATGTATCTGTAGAATACATTCCCAGATATGGAATTGCTGAATCAAAGGATAAATGCATTTATAATAATGGTAAGTACTGGCAAATTGTCTCTTATAGGTGTTTGTACCATTTTGCATTTCTACCAGCAAGATACAAGAGTGTCAAAACAGGGCTTTTCTGAATGGGTTCCTACTATAAACAGAATTCCAATGAGCTATGATATTTTATTATATATTATCAAAAAAAAGGAAAGAAACAAAAATAAGTGAGTTGTGTTGGAAACAGAATGGTATTGTAATGCTTCAAAGAACAAGGCATCAAACTTTATGTTGTATCTAACCTCTGTGTTTAATTCTTTTTTTTAACAGCATAGTTGTTGTCCAAATCTTTTGGTACAGAATGTTTTTGTAGAAACACATGATAAGAATTTTCCACTGGTGGCGTTCTTCACTAACAGGTTTGAATTTTTTTAATATGATTTCATTTTGAAATTGTGACTTTAAAAATAACAATAGAAAAATATAAAAAGAAGGTATGTGCTATAGCCCCTCATATCTGGTACGCCAGAATATTCAATTATCCCAAACTGTTCCTAGTCAATAAAATTTAAACAGCTGAAATTTCAATTCTTATATCCTCGTAGAATTAAAACCTGAAAAGGCTAAGGATGGCAGGTCTCACCCAGTTCAATTCAGGGAATAAATGATGCAGAGTGTTAGATCTTCTGTAAGTCAGAACTGCCCCCAACTACCACACTCCAGGCTCATCACATCACCGGGTTTCACTGTTTGCAAAACACTTCCTTCCTCATGGATAATGACTAGTTTCTTCTTACTTAGGATTTTAGTAGATTTGAAATAAAATTGATTTTTCTTAATAAAAGAGTATTCCTAGGGGCCGGCCCGGTGGCGCAGCAGTTAAATGTGCACTTTCCACTTCAGCTGCCCAGGGTTCACCGGTTTGGATCCCAGGTGTGGACATGGCACCGCATGACAAGCCATGCTGTGGCAGGCGTCCCACGTATAAAGTAGAGGAAGAAGTGCACAGATGTTAGCTCAGGGCCAGTCTTCGTCAGCAAAAAGAGGAGGATTGATGGGAGATGTTAGCTCAGGGTTAATCTTCCTCAAATAAATAAATAAAAGAGTATTCCTAATGGGTGGGTGTTGTAGAGAGAGAATAAATCATTTTTGAGGAAGGTTAAGGATGTTAATATGAAATTGGTATAATCAAGTTTGGTTCATTTTGTAGTTATTCAAGGTAATTTATGATTATTTTTTGATTTCTACCTTCTAGGTATGTGAAAGCCAGAACAGAGCTAACTTGGGATTATGGTTATGAAGCTGGGACTATGCCTGAGAAAGAAATCCTCTGCCAATGTGGGGTTAATAAATGTAGAAAGAAAATATTATAAATCTGTAGCTAATGCCTGTTAACGAAACTAGCTTATCAAGCTGGAATTAGAGCAATGCAAGAGAACCCTCAGTCGTCAGTGGAACTAATTTAAGTTGTGTCCATCAGGAGAATTCCTTGCAGTTTGCCCTCATCGTGGGGGTTCATTTGCGTGACTTAGAGATGCCAGGAACAGAATAAGGGCGTTTTCAAACGCATATGGTATCCCTTGATTCTTACTGCTGTTCAACTTTACATGAGTAGGATGGAAGTGTATATTTTATATGAAGTACCACTGTACAATTTGTAACTTATTTGTAAATTATCTATTAAGAAAAACAAATGTCACAATAGAATTCAGCTGTTCTTATTGTTCTTATTGCTTTTGTGATTATCATCTTTGAGTTCATACCCCTGGAGGGCCACATTTCACATCTTTATTTAGAAAATTTATGTATGTTTAATTCCTGGCAAATAATTTACTATTATGAGCCATAAGGTGGGCAGCAGAGCCTGAGGAACATGTAAAAACTAACTTTATACACACTACTTCCAAGTATTTTGGCGCTAGTTGGAGAAGCTATATCTGGTCCATGAAACACTGTCCCATGAAACCATTCCCCTATGGGGAAGCTTTTGGTAAACTCTTTGAAATTAAGCTTCTTTTCCATGGATTCTCTTTACTCCTTCAATACAAGCACAGACAGGAAAAGAGGGAATAAAAACCTAGAGTAATTGGAATATTTTTGTTCTAGATAGAGTTGAGCCATAAGAAAAGGAAACCTAGAAACTAGCCAGACTTGGATTATTTAGGCCAGAAAGAATTGTACTGGGCAAGAACTTTACTTAAAAAACAAAATTCTACTGAGCTGTAAAGTCTGAAACAGCCTCTTGGTCTCTCCTGGTCATGATGGACAAATTGTTTTTCTAGTGAAAAAGAGAAAGAGCTACTTTGCTATAGGTTACCCAGCCCTGAGCATCTAGTGGAAAGGGGACTGGGAATCTCCAAGAGTTAAAACTAATTTTATCTATAACAAAGATGTACCTTTAGCTGCCAGGAACTTCCCCCTTGGAACCAGGATGGGAATACTGGCTCAAAAATGAGTAATTAAAAGTTCTGGTTTTTGAGAGGTTATATATTCTTTTCTTTTTCTGAACTTGATTCTGGGTTTAGTTTGGTTACCTTTCAAACAAAAGTCTCTTCTAAGTTTGGACCCAGTTTAATTTTTAAAATATATTGAACTGTATGAAAATTTTACTTGAAATTGTTTTAGAGAGTGGGAAATCAAAGAACTAGGAAAAGGAGCAAAAGATTATAACCCAACAGCCTGATGAGGAAAATGGAGAAGTCCATTTATTATTCACAAACTAAAGAGAACACACTTGATCAATATGGGAAATACTTTTTGTGCAGAAATTCTGACATCTTAATCTGCTTCAGTCTGTACTGGCTCTCAGCTGTCATCTTCCATCAGTGTCTTAGGGATTCCCTTTGTCTCTCTTATGTCAGATCTGTTTTTGGTTAAGTCCCATTATTTTCCTTTTCCTTGGTTTACTCTCACATATTGGGTTGAAGCACATCCCCCAGTAGCTTGTGAAAAGGAAAAATGAGAGGTAAGTATTTTGAGACCTTGCATGTTTGAAAATGTTATTTTACCCTTACATTTGATTGCTATTTTGGCAGGGTATAGAATTCTCAAGTAGCCTCCATGCCCAATTTTGAAGGCATCTGCTAGCTTCCAGGGTGACTACTGGAAGTCAGATGCCATTCTGTTCCTTATCTTTTGTATATATGACCCGTTTTTCTCTCTCTTGAAGCTTATAGCATTATCTTTGTCCCAGTGTTCTGTTCCTGGTAAGGGTCCATTCTCATCCTGCATACCAGGTGCTTGGTGGGATCTTTCAATCTGAAACCTGTGTCCTTCAGTTCTGGGAAATTTTCTTGAACTATTTCTTTAATGATTCCTCATCCATTTTCTCTTTCTAGAATTCCTGTTATTCAGATGTTAGACCTCCAGGATTGGTTCTCTGATTTTCTGATTTTTTTCCTCTTTATTTCCAGCAGTGTCTTCTTGCTGTACTTTGTGGGAGATTTTCTCAACTTAATCTTCTAATTTATATTGTTTTATTTTTCTGGTCTCATATTTTTAATATTTAGAGCCCTCTTTGAATGTTCTTTTATTTAGTAACATGCTATTTTTGGTTCATGATTGCAGTATCTTCTCTCTCAGAATATACTATTTGTGTCTATACACATACACACAAATTCATTGATTCATATCTATATTTTCTTCTTCCTGCATATTCTCTGACCTCCAAGGTTTATTTCTTTGTTTGTTTTCCCTGTATGTTTCCTTTGGTCTTTGTCTTTCTATGGGCTTTCCTCAGATAGTGATCTTGGCAGTCTACTCATGCTCAAGAGTGGAACCCTAAAAAGCTGAGATTATAAACTGAGAGTGGGGGTAGGGGCTCTTCAACTGCTTGAGCATGACCTAGCTGAGCTATTCAGTCTCTAATTCAGTCTCTTTAGAATTTTCTTTTGGGCTTGACATGGAATACTCTTCCTTCCTCCTGCTTGAAGGGCAAAAAAACTTGGCTACTGGAATCTGCTTTTTTCTTTCTTTTTGCAGCCCCACTCTCTTGCTTCTGCAGTCCATTTCTCTAAGACTATCCAAGTTATCCTTCTTAATATTCCCTTTTCTACTGTCCCTAATTTGCTTCCTTTCTCTCTTTAAAACTTGCTCAAGGTGCAAGACCTCCAGAAGTTTTACTTTAATTCCGCAGCAAAGCACCAACTATTATATGCTTCTTTTCCAGAACAAAGTATTTTTTAATTTTAATTTAATTATATGCATTTATGTTCTCTAATGTATATTTGTTACATGCACTGGAAACCTCGTCTTGTATGGTGCTGTGTACCCCATGGGTGCTAAATAAAGGCTTGCGACTAGCAACTGGAATTCCGGTCCGTTAATTCTGCCTCCGTTTATGATAGGCCCGTTTAGGCCAAACTCATTGGGATACAATTCTTAGAAAAAACGAGTAAATCCTCAGAAGAGCAACAATTTCTCCAGCCGAGCCCAGGGTCTTTGGCCGCCTTTCCTCCGACTCTCGGGAAAGGGAAAGTGGCGGCAGGGTGGGGAGCGCCTGGCGTGTTTAAAAGAAAAGATTCAGATTCGGATCTGCGGAGAAAGACAGCTCCTGTGTGAACGAGAACCCCATCTGCAAACCCAGCGTGTCTCGTCGCTGGGAGTTTTCCCCTGCCCCGGGGGAACAGTCACAGCGGATTTTACGAAAACGAAACTTCGCGGCCGCCCGTGAACTTCCGGGAGCGCGGGCGCGGCGCACAGCCGGCGGGAGCCGCCGCGGACACAGCCATGGAGCCCCACGAGGAGTCCACCACGGAGCGCCCCGCGGCCTCCTGGCTCCAGCCGACCCGCGGCGCCGCCTGGGCCGAGGCGCAGGACGCGCTCCCCCGCCCCACTGGTGAGTATCGCGCGGGGGCTCGGGGCGGGGCGGGGGCCCGCAAATGCAGGGCCGGCCCCGGGCCTGCTCTCTGGCCGCGGCCGCTTCAGGGCCCGGGACCCGCCTCTCGAGCCGAGCCGCCGGGGCTGCGCTGAGGAACTTGTCTTGGCGGCCCCGTGTCCCCTCCACCGGCCGTGGGGGCCGTTTCGCAGTGGCTCTGCGCCCGCCCGCCCCACCCCCCACTGCCCAGGCCTTCCCGTAAGAAGCGAGCGTGTCTTCCGTTTCCCTCTCCCACTGCTGATGGGGCAGCCCACGGCCACTGGCCGCTCCCTTAGGGATACCGGCACCCAGGGAAACCCGCGCCTCCCCCCGCGCGTAAACCAGTGCTGTCGCGGAAGGGCCGTCGGAGAGGGAGGCAGGAGGTGGGCCCCTGCTTGAAGAGAGTCCGCTGGGTCTCAGGAAGCAGTTTGGAAAGTTTCCACAGAGAATGGGACTTTTTGGAACCATCCCTTCGTCTCCATTTAGTGGTTCAAGCCTTCAGCGGGCCCTCTCCAGGAGGGAGGCAGCCGCTCGGCCCCGTGCCTTCGCTTGAGTGAGCATGTGTAGATCTGCTGTGATGTGCCAGGCGCGGGGCTGGGTCCTCGGGATACGGAGATGGGTTCCATAGACCCTGCCCTAAAGAATCTAATAGGCAGCTTGCATGTGACCTGGTGAGAACCACAGAGGCACAAATGAGGGGCTCCTAACTCAGCCTGGTGTTCAGAGAAAGCTTTTTGCAGGTCAGGATGCCTGATTTTTTGTTTTAAAAGGAGTCAACCAGAGGTAGCAAGGTTGAAAGGGTGGTCAGGACAGAAGTGAAGACACTAGTAAAGGCACCCGACACAAAACGTCGTATAATGGCAACCAGAAGCCAAGCAGTTGAATATTTCATTCAGTGTTTGTGTGGACTGAGGAGTTACTGGAAGTGAGGTTTCATCCTGACCTTTTCCCCAAATTCCAGACTCATATGACCAATTTCAGCAATACCTAGAATGATCTTAAACTCGTGTCTCCCAAAGAGAACCCTTGTTTCTCCATACATACCCACATACTCCAAACCTGCTCAACCACCAGCCTTCTTCATTCCATTCACCCAGTTGCTCAGATGGAAAACCTTGGGGGCTCCCTGCGGGCTTCTCTTTCCTCCTCCACCTCCCATCTAATCCATTAGCCAGACCAGTCAGCTCTGTCTTCAGAATATGTCTCAAGCCTGACTGCGTCTCACCACCTCCACCACTACCAAGGCAAGCCACCCAAGCCCAGGACACTGTCATCTCCTGCCTGGACTTTTGGTCTCCTGGCTTCTACTCTACCCTCTCATACAGACAGGACAGCACAGCCACAAGAAAGATCTTTAAAAAGCAAAGGGCAAGTGTGATTCTCTGACTCAGAGCCCTCCAGTAATCTCTCATTACTTTCAGAATAATCTCTTACTGTGGCCTACGGTGCCCCCCATGTCCTGATTTGATCCAGCCCCTGCCCATCTTGATGACTCTGCCACCCCTCACAGCCTGTGTGTCCCCTACGCCCCCAAACCTGTCCATGCCTCAAGGTCTTTCTGTTTGCATCCCATTTCTCACTTCTGCGCCATATTCAAATCTCTACTGAAATGTATTCTCCACAGCTTTGCCTGCCCATCCTATTTAATAGAGCACTCCACCCCTGCCCTCATTACTCTCTACCTCCTTCCCCTGCTCTATTTTTCTTCATAGCACTTATCACTACCTGAAGAAAAATACTTGTTTGATGTCTGTCTCTACTACTAGAATGTAAGTTCCATGAGAGTTGAAACTCTCATCTTGTTCTCTGATTTATTTCTAGTGCCTAGAACAGTACCAGGTAGGTTCTCATTAAGTATTTGTTGAAGGAATGAATGGGCTTGTATGTACCACTAGGGGGCTCAGCTTCTCTTCTGTAGGTGAACGAGAGGGGTGGTTAACAGGAGAGACACATGAGCAGTTGTGCATTTTAGATAGATCACTCTGGCAGCAACAAGAAGAGTGGAGTCATGACAAGGAAAGCAGAGGCAGGGAGATGAGATTACCAGAATGGACCAGGCGAAAGACAGGGCAGGGCAGTCCACCTTCCACCACTGCTGCCAAAACTCTCTTTCTCTTAAACACACGTGTGCATACGCACATCCGTACATAATGTGCCTACACACAGAGAGATCAGGTCATGGTACTTCCAGTCGTAATTAGGACTTGTTGGCTGCAAATAGTACAAAAGCAACTTGATCTAATTTAGGCAAAAGGGATGCTTGTTACTGAGAAGCAGGGAGACCAGATTTACAGACCCCCGGAGCATGGATGCTGTAGCATTTTCCAGAAAGGGCCAGGAATTAGGACCTGAGAAACCATCATAAACTGACAGCATTCTCCTCTGTCTCTTATTTCTGCATCTCTTAGCATATCTGCTTTGTTCTTTTCTTTCTTTGGTCCAGTTTTCCTGGTAATGGGAAAGAGGATACTGCCTTCACAGCCTCCCAGTTTTTATATCTCCTTCTTCAAGAAACCAGCCCAATCCGAACTAAAATTTTCTTTTCTGAAGTCTCTATATCTGAGAGATGGGCAGGTTGGTCCTCTGGGACTGTCAGCTGTGCCTAGGGAAATCAAGTCACATGATACAAACATCCCTGCTGGCGATCATCCCTGTGTATGATAGTGAGCTAGATCGATACCCTAAAGAAGTCCACTGAATATCCTACCCCTTGGCTGCCCACTGCCTCTGCCCCACAAGATAGTTATCGGTATTCCTGTTCATACATTCTAAAGCTGTCCCCAGTAATGTATTCTGATTATCCCAAATACTTATTCAGTCACACTTAACTTCTCCCAAAGTTATAGCCGGTCACATCATCCAGAGACATTGTGATGGAGCCCTTCATTTTCCAAGTGTATTACCAAGTTCATTACCAAGCCTCTAAGTAATGTCTACTCTTCCTCTGTTTTGGTCTTCATCCTTCGGGTGTGCAGTCACTGGACTCAGTGATAAAGTTGACTTTTCTCACTCCTCTGATATACAGTGGAAGAACTAAAATAGTAAACTGCAATAAAAACTATTGATCAAAGGAGAAAAAAGGAAGAAATTTCCAAGCCATCACTATAAATTGGTTGCCAGTCAAAAACATAGACCATACCCTACTGGAAGGGGATTGTAAATGGAATTATAGGATTAATGAAACTTATTCCATCAGTTTCACTCATATCTTCAGTGGCAGAATGTGTTCCTTGGCTATCTTATCTGCCTACCCCAGATTCTGTCCTCTGGGTAGGTTGCCTTTATCTGGTGGGCTTTAAGACCATCTCTGGGAAGAGAAGAATTGAGAAGACACCCCTGAACCCCTGCAGAGGGTGTGGCCTTAACAATCCCTTCCCAGATGGAGCTGGGCGTGGACATTGCTGAGGAACCAAGATTCACTGTGTTGGTTTGAGTTAGTCATAGTTCATGTGTTTGTGGCTTGTAATTTTTCTGCAGCTTCATTCTGGAAAACCTTTTGTGGCTGCCAGTTACATTTTTGAGAATTCTTGTCGAGTCTGTCTCTGTGAGTCCTCAGGCCTGCTAGACCCTGTAGAAGGACCCTGGGGAGCCCTGCTGATCATCAGTTTTCTTGGTCTCACCTATTGATGGAAACCAATGGGCTCTTCCCTAAAATGCCCTAGCCCCCGTGATTCACCTGTCTCTCTCATTGTCTGAATCTATACAGTTCCTGAGTTCACATGGTGAGAGATATCAAGTTAGCCAAATGTATTTGGTTCCTGAGTTTTGGATAACTCATAGAAAGCATTCAGATAGTGAGGGATGCCTGTCTCCGTAAAAGCCTCTATCGTGACTCCCCCAACTACAGAGAGTTATGTACATCCTTCAGTCTAGAAGAGTAAACGGGCTAGAAGAGCCAAGATCTTTTAGGAAAACTGTGATGAGGGGGCATTTTAGCAGGAAAAAGCCATAGGGGGGAGCCTGTGTGTCCCTCCCTCGGTTTTTGTCCGTCAGCAACTGGGAACAAACTCCAGGTCAGAGCATAGCAGTGTTGCCACCACCTCCCTATTCCCAGGTACCAAGACCCTAGGAGCCTGCCGACTTGGGAGTGCAGCTCAGACAGGCACAGAGTCCCCAGAGCAAGCACAGGGGGCCATGCTCAGGGACCAGCGGCCTGACAGCTTAGCCTAATGCAGCCCGCCTGTCTGAAGGTCCGGCTTTGCACAGGAAAAGATGATGCTGCACAGAAATGTCCAGCTCTTGTACAACAAGGGACACTGCGCCTCCTGTCAAACATCATATTATTTTACTAGGGAATTTTTAAAGGGAATTTTAGCACTAGTAATTTAACTGACACTTGTTTTTAGCCTGTGCTTTACACATTTTAATGTCCAGTTTGAGTGTTCTTTTAAATAAGAACACAGTATTCTATCAAAGTAGGTTTGGGGCTCAAGGTGAATAAAATTTGGGTTTTTTT